AAGCATAGTATTTATCGTTATTTCGTATTGTTTAGTAGTACTTATCGTTATGTTATTTATCAACCCGGCCACTTTGAAAATCCAACCACTAGTAAGAGTACTTAAAATGTAAGAACTCTGTTTTGGACGAAAATACAACTAGCTAGTGCACTAGCTAGTTATATTTTCGTCCAGTACTAGTAGCTAGTTGTAGTTTCGTCCGGTATTCTAGTGCACTAGTTAGTGCATTGCAATTTTGATTGTAGCTTGGTGTTGAATAGCATTTCGAGTTTCAATCGTTTTCTAATCATTAAAAACAAAAATTTTCGAAATAGTAGTGCAAAACAAAATTTATTGCTAAATCAAAATTCTAAACAATTTTTGTGACTAACAAAAGGAATAAATTGCTTGACTTAAATGTAAGTTACAACTAATTCTCGAAAGTTGCAAACAGAAATTTCAGTTTGTTTTCCGATTATCAAATTTTCACTGGAGTTCTATGTCTGTTGACAGTATAAGTTTCAATGATTTCCTGATTCATCGCCATATAGAATTTATCGTCGCTTACTATTCTAACAGGTTTTTGGCGGGATAACGTCTTGTCTGTGTCTTGTGACAATATGAATTGTTTTCTGAACGCTAAGAGAAGATGTTATCGCCTATCAATCTTTCAACTATTTTTCAGCGTGCTAGACTACTTAAATTTTAACTAAATCTCTACACCTGGTGCCAATACAAGTAACGGCTTTATCCAATTTGGTTTGTAAGTGCCTACATAGATTGTATGTACATGCATATATAGGTTTTATGTACGTTTTGACGCATATTTTATATGCGTATGGGTTTTTTTTTTAATTTTTTTTTTACTCTTTTTATCTATTTACTTCATCTTTTCACTCTGGGTNTTTCAATGCCTGCAGTTAAGAAAAAAGAAATACAAAACATAAAAACATTTAAGGTGGTCATGCTCGAGGTACTAAAATGCGAACTTGCTTTTTTACAATATAGCTGTTAACTTGCTCTTGGGGCTGTTCTGATAATGATATCTTGTTATCAAAATTTCGGTACTCGATAACAATACAAGTTACAATTGCTTCCTGACATAGTATAAGTATTTATAATATCCAAGCATAGTATATATCCAAGCATAGTATTTATCGTTACGTTATTTATCAATCCGACCACTTTGAAAATCCAACCACTAGTAAGAGTACTTAAAATATAAGAAATCTGTTTCGGACGAAAATATAAGTTACCATACCCTTTTTGACTGCTACACGCATAATTTATCACGATATTATTGTTTACAGAAATTTATCGTCAATTTTAAACTACGCCCAGTTTACGACTACGACTAGCTAGTGCATTGCAATTTTGATTGTAGCTTGGTGTTGAATGACATTTCGAGTTTCAATCGTTTTCTAATCATTAAAAACAAAAATTTTCGAAATAGTAGTGCAAAACAAAATTTATTGCTAAATCAAAATTCTAAACAATTTTTGTGACTAACAAAAGGAATAAATTGCTTGACTTAAATGTAAGTTACAACTAATTCTCGAAAGTTGCAAACAGAAATTTCAGTTTGTTTTCCGATTATCAAATTTTCACTGGAGTTCTATGTCTGTTGACAGTATAAGTTTCAATGATTTCCTGATTCATCGCCATATAGAATTTATCGTCGCTTACTATTCTAACAGGTTTTTGGCGGGATAACGTCTTGTCTGTGTCTTGTGACAATATGAATTGTTTTCTGAACGCTAAGAGAAGATGTTATCGCCTATCAATCTTTCAACTATTTTTCAGCGTGCTAGACTACTTAAATTTTAACTAAATCTCTACACCTGGTGCCAATACAAGTAACGGCTTTATCCAATTTGGTTTGTAAGTGCCTACATAGATTGTATGTACATGCATATATAGGTTTTATGTACGTTTTGACGCATATTTTATATGCGTATGGGTTTTTTTTTTAATTTTTTTTTTACTCTTTTTATCTATTTACTTCATCTTTTCACTCTGGGTCTTTTCTTTTTATTACATTGAGATTTGAAAAAAAAAATATTAAAATTTTTTTCCTGATTAGAATTATTTTCTCTAAGTCAGACATTGTTTCATTAATGCTAATGTAAAACTTTTGGATAAATATACAGTGCGTAAAAATAAATAAATAAACGGGCCACCCTAAATAACTTTTGATCTAAAAATCGGATCCTCACGTTCCAGAACTCAATTGCGTATTTTGACATCTCACGAGCGCTTTTTAAGCGATTTGAAAAATTATTGCACACCTTTATGAAATTCGTTTATCCAATGATAATTTGTAAGAAAATAAATTTCAGTATATATTTATTATTATTTGTGATTTTATTTAATAATAGTAAAAGAGAATTTTAAATTTAAAGGCATACAGTTTTTTTATATTATCTTAAAGAATGTAATTTTACGTAGTAAAATACAAATAGGAGAATTCGGTTGAATAATACTGAAAAATCGTATTTTTATACAGTCGTATATTTATAATTCGATTTTTCAAGAACTAATCGACCGATTTCGCTCAAATTTCTAATTTTGTATTTCACTGGAACTTCTGAAAAAGTTACAAGATTTTTTTTATTTTAATATTATTCAGAAATATTTTTATATAATAATTATAATGATCACCCATCAAAATCAGCGAATTCATTTGCTTACGTAGTAGTTTAAACATTTTCCAGTTATGTGTTGCTAAGAAGAAAAAAACTTTAAATTATCGAATGCCCACTGATAACTTTATCTAAATAACTTTTAAAATGCGTATTTAATACACCATGCTGATAATAAAAGAGTTTTCTGAAAAACTCCCTCTTCAAAAGAAAAAAAAATTCATTCGGGGTTCAAATTACATACAAACACCAAATAATCACATGAAAAACACTCCACTGTTTTTTTTTTTTTTTTTTTTTTTTTTTTTTTNTTTTTTTTTTTTTTTTTCATGAAACTTATGTGATACGTTGAAGTTGAATAAATCAATAAGTAATAATAAAAGATTTGGTTTATCTATGTTATGGATAAAAAATGAGACAGATAATGTGTGAATAAGAGACGTATAAATAAGAAATACAAAAATAAAAAACAAATAAAACCGATACTAAATTAGAAAAAAGTAGCAATGAATGAATGAAAGAAAAACTTTGCCTTGTTAAAGAGTACATTTTTCGCGAGTAAATATTAATTACTCGCAAAAAATATTTAATTTTTTAAATGCGTGGAGAGAAAGAAAAAATATGAGGATAATTGGGCAGTGCGCTACAAAATCAAGGTTATCGACAGAAAATTTAGAATCGAGATTTTTATGTATTTGGCATATTCGTATGATAAACTGCAGTGTTCGTATGATAATATTAAAGCAAAAAATAATTCGAACAAAAATTTTTTTTTATTTAATTTCCTGAGTTTTATTCTACTTTAGCGTTGTAATAGAAGCAATATAGGGAGAAAGCAATGGAAAGAAAGCAGTTGTTATGCCGCTTTTCTCGAAATCGACCGGGAAGCATCACTTACATTGTTTTTTCAAATGCACGGCAGAATAAAAAACGGAGATGGGGCGGAGCCTCTTAACTGTTCCATTTTGAACTTTTTTTGCCTCATAACAAACCTCATAAGTAAGTTGATCTCCGAAAAAATACAACCGTACAGAAAGAAATACAACCGCTTCGATTGCGTAACAACGTTAGCGTAAGGAAAACCTCATCGCACTCTTTAAGAACACTTTTTTTAGAGCAAAAAAGTAGTTTTTAAGAGGAAAATACTTACGTTGTAGCTTTTAGTTCGGTTAACAACTTGGCTACGTCAAAAATGAAAGGTTGACTAGTTGTCCATTACTGTAGTCTGTCTGTGGAAAGAACTTCCCTCGCTATTCGTCAGGAGCAATGTCGGTGACTATGGCTTCAAAGTTTAACCATTTCAAATAAAGGGTTGTTTATTTGGGTCAATATATAAGTCCGGTTTTGGCTCTTGTAGTCGAGAAAAAGGGAATCAGAATAGAGAGAAGCTCCTTTTTTTAATGAGTTATTTCTTGTTTCCATAGTAGAAGACGGCTTTGGATTTTGTATAGACAACTTTAAACTATTCCTCATACTTTTTCTTTCTCCTTATTTTAACCATTTCCGATCGTATGTTTATTCTCAACTACCACAGTTCCGTGAGTCGCAACATTATAGTTCCCTTAACTTGATAGGCTTTGAAAGAGTATAAAATTCAAACAATATTTTTTTTTTTTAAACTCAAATTCTAATATCGTTTTTCTTTCTAAAAGTAGATTCATTAATATAGCAATATTAGAAAGCATTCCTTTACGCGGATATAATCCTGCGAGATGATAGGAGATTAAGTCCTTTCATTATTTTGTTTTCCGATTTGCAATAACTTTGCTTAAATAAAGTTTTTTTTAAATATTTTATTTAAAATATTTTCTTCTTCGCTTTTTGTTAATCTTTATTAGTTTCCATGTTTTCGCGATATTTTTAACTTATTTTAAGAGCTTTATATATTTGCAAGTTACGCGCAATAAATAAAACTTGTTAATTTTCCTATAATTTCTTCGTTTTTCTCTCTTTTCTTTTCGTCTTTGTTGCGCTATATATATATATATATATANAGAGATTTTTATATATATATATATATATATATATATATAAAATGAGCTTCCAATGGAACATAGGACGGCCCCTTTCAACCCCATAATTATGTTTATGCAAAATGAATTTCGAAATTCCCATAATCACGTTTCGCACAAATTTTATGCATGTAATCGGTTGATAACTAAAGAAAAACATCATCTCGTGACAGCAAAGATAAAAAAATTTAAACACTAGATTACATTTTTAATCAAAATGTTTGAAAAATATCGAAGAAGAAAAAACGAAACAAATACTTCCTTCTTAAATGACGATAGCGTGACGAAAAAAATATGTCAATTCCAAAAAAAAAAAGAAAGAAAAAAAAAGATATTGTAGTTCATTTTTCAAAACTATTAGGTATAAGTATTTTCATGAGCCTTGACAATGAAAGAACAACTTTTTCTAACTCATAAACCTTCTAGTAGAGCTTGATTAATCAGATATTTCTTAAAGATAAAACATTTGTTATTTGAGTGCAGAAAGTTTAACTTTACTATTTAGTGAAGCTAGAGCATTTTATTTGCATTTTATTTTATTTGAAGACGTTATAGAACATTTTATTTTATTTGCAGATTTTTTTTCGAGATAGCAACGAAATGAGGATTTTTACTGCTCGCAATACAACGCTGTAAATAATTTCTACCTGTGAATCCAATAAAAATGAACTTCAAAGCTGGCAATTTATTTTTAGCTCTTCTAAGTGCTTTTCTTGGGAGTGTAAAAGGACTACTTGTTTCTCAAATGAAAAATCTAGGTGCAATCGAAATCTTCGGTTTACGTAGCTTAGGTACTGTGTTTTATATGCTTCCGATCATCATTTACGGTAACTTTAAATTATGGCATGACTCTAAAAATAATCTAGTTCTTCTTTTTCGGTCCATTGTGGGGAACATAGCCGTTATCGGTTATTACTTCGGTTTCGTAAACTTACCGATGGCCGAAGCTTCTCTTCTATTTTATTCAACGCCATTGTTTACTGTGATCCTAGGACATATATTTTTAAAAGAAGCCTGTGGTATTAAACCGACTTTTTCCGTAGTCTTGTCCCTGACTGGTGTCTTCTTAGTGTGCCTGCCGTACTTTTCTTTCCAGTCTGATAGATATTCGGGCAATGTCCTGATTGGAATCACTGGATGTGTTATTGGAGCCATTGCCCAAGCTATTGCACTGGTCATCATCAGGACCATTACCCATATACCGCCAATTGTTGTCAGCTTTTGGTGGGCGTTTGTCGGAGTTCTGTTTGCTGGATGCTTTTGCTTAATAGTGCCACCGAAGATCTGGAGTTGTGGGTTAGAATCGACATTCGTCATCTTAATCGCCTTCATTGGATTTATCTGCGAACTTTGTTTGGTTGCTTCTTTGAAATCAACAGACGCTATAGTAGTTTCCATTACCTTGACAGTTGAGATAATGTTTGCATTTTTATTTCAGATATTTATAAATAAAGAAAGTGCGGGACCATTTACAATATTAGGTGGTTTAGCCATAGTATTGTCTGTTTTGCTACCTCCATTTGTGAGTTATTCGTGTTCGAAAAAAGCAGATTTTGAGTTGGAAATAATTCAAAAGGAAAATGGATTAGAAGGAATGTCTTAAGCAACTGGGTTCAACGAATATTTGTTTTAAAAGGCAAGTACTATTATATTGATGTATAGCTAGACGTATATTGTGGTTTATTTTATGTTTTATTTGTAGTATAAACATTTTTTAAACTTGTTTATATTATTTTTATTTATATATTTATTCCTACCTTGTTGCTTATCGTTTAATATTTGTCTGTATTAATGAATATGTTTGATAATTTATGTAAGGGAGGTAAATACAGGATGTTCTGTAATCACCGCCTTTAATATATATAATCTTAATCAAAAATGAAGTCAAAGAATATTCCCATAAGAAGGTGGATTCATGTTTAGGCGAGGATTAAGTGAACTCACTCTTGAAATCTGGCGAATAAATTGTGAGAAAATTAGGATTAAAAAGAGAAAGAAAAAAACAGTATGGTTGACTTTATGAAATTTGAATATGCTTCTGTTTTAATAATAGCCTCGGAGTCGTGATGGCTCAGGGTATAGAGTATTCTTCTCCGTATGAGGTGATCCAGGTTCGAATCCCAGCGGTAGCTAGTTTATACGAATTCACATCGACCATAGAGCGGACGTAAAATGTCCTCAATGGTAGACGGATCTTGGGTTAGGATCCCCTTGCAGTCGGGCTAACCATAGAACACTTTTGTGGTTTTTCTCTCCATGTCACGCAAATGTAGATTAGCTCCATCAAAAAGTCCTCCACGAAGGTTAGTTTGCTCCAATGCTTGATCCAGGAGTTTCCATGAGTTCTGGCTTGGGTTTAAAATTACAAGGCTACAGAGTTACAAGACTACATTGCTAGTTGTAAACTCTGAATTGGTTTGGTTGTTCAAAGCAAGAAAAAAATTAAATAATTATTACTTTTCAACTCTTTTCTGCCCCTCTCTCTGGAAGTCAAACAGTAGTGATTTTTAAGATTTCAGTAGCGTTTTTTTTTTCCATTTTAAAACATTTATTCTTAGCCCTTACGTTGAAAAATTATTATACTTCATTTTTGACAAGGATTCTAAAAATATATTGTATTAATATATATTAAGGGTAATCATCCCTGTATATTTACTTCAGATTGCGTTTCCTTAATAATGTGTTTTCTTCATGCTATTTTGTTTCTCAGAACTAAAAAGGAGAAAAATATGTAGTGGTAATTAATGGTAAACTATTGTAAATGGCAATGAAGATGCAAAGAGTTGTTATTTAATCTAAGTAGAAATGAAAAAAAAATTTCTTGATTGTTTTTAAAATAAAATTTTCCTTTTTACAAAAATTTTTGTTTTCATGTAAATTAAAGAAAACATTTAATAGGGATAGCTGCACTGTACTAAAATTCCGCACAAAATTATGGTTCAAGTACTGGCTCTTTGGGTACATCATCCGTAATATCAATTTTCCCCGTAAAATATTATACCGTAATTTATGCAATAATAATTATTCAATTAGAGTGATTCGCTGATTTTACGGTAATTATTACAGTAAAAGGTGGAGTATATCTGATTTTTTGTCCACATGTTCCGGTAAAAATTCAGGTTATAATTTCACGGTAGTGCTGAGTGCCTGTACGTTATACCGTAATTTTAGCCGGATTTCTTTACAATGTGGTTATAATGTGACCTGAGTGAACGTTCAATTAATTTTAGTACATACTTTAAAGCATGTATTTAGCAGATACTTAGTAGATATTTTTGTCAACAAGTTTACATTTTGGTTAATGAATGAAATTCTTCAAATCAATATTAAGGGATAATTTAAACAAAAATATGGCGTCAAACATTTAACGAAACAGAAACTTAGTATTTATATTTATTTCGCGAATAAATAGCATAAAAATTGAAAACAAAAGAAACAAAAAAAGAAACAGGAGAATTATAATTTTTTTCTGGAATCTCTTAAGTTAAAATTTATGACTTAAATTATGAAAACAAAGCCTCGCAATCAGCATGAAATAAAATCAGGCTAGATACCTCATTTATTTAAACTATACTCTAAATACCATATTTATTTTTTAAAAAAATTTTGATTATTTCAAAGAACTTATGAATTATTTTATTCTTTCAGTATCAATATGAAATCAGTAATCAGTAATAAACACTGAAATCAGTAATAAACATTGAATAAAAATAAATCCGTACTTGCATATTTATTTTTACAGTGGCTTAGAGATTCCTATTTCAGGTTGTAATTAAAAACTGTCTTCTTTCGTCATTAAGGGTGAATGGTTTGATGGTTTGTCCCATTTCATTCCGTAGGTCAAGCTATTTGAATAATTAGTTTATAAACCCGATTTCTTAGTTTAAAAAATATTGTTGGCGATTAAACAAAAATAAAAATAAAAATTTTATTCCCTAAATTTATTTTTTTTAGAAAATACAAGTTTCACTTTAAAGATCTTACTTGGTTGTTATTAATTATCTCTTATCGTTAATATAACAAGAATCGAACAGGGTACAATAGAAAATGAAATTCTGCATTGATATAACTTAGCAAATGTAGGGTAAACTAACCAGTGCTTGCCTTTTAAAAAATCATATTAATTTCGAAATTCGTAATTTTAGTTAAATGACAGTGTCAACATATTTGTTACTAATTGCAAATTATGTAAAAAAATTGTAGAGAACTTACATAATATTGTTTTAAAGTTTTGGAGGTTCAAATACCAAGTAGTAAGAAGACCAAGTGAAGGAACAGCTCTTACCAGTGAAGGAACACCCAGTAAAGGAACACTTAATTTTAGTTATTTTTTAATGCTCTTTATGAATTTATAAGCCATAAAAATATTTAAAAATAAGCCTATTCTTGAAATTATAACATACAAATACTTGGAAAATGTTAACTTTTTTTTATAATCATGAATTGAAAATTAAAGTGTCAACATATTAACACATACTGTTCATTCACTGGGAAATCTATGCCCAGTAAAGGAACATGCCTGTTCCCTCACTGGTTAGAAGTTGTTTTTCGTATTTTTAACATACTTTTGATGCGGAACATCACTAAAGGTACAAGAAAATTAAAGTTTATCTTTTATTTTCATTAACTTAGAAAAAAACCCAGTAAAGGAACACTTGTTCCTTCACTGGTTTTTCATCGTTTGGTGATCCAGTGAATAAACACCCCCTTATCTCAGTATTTTATTATGCTATGATGATTAAAAATAAATAAAACGTAACTTCAATAACTATATTTTGAATTCTCTTTTTCACAGTGCGAAAAATAAAACTATTACATGCAAATTATTCCACTTCAAACATATAAATACAAACCCTCACCTTATAATTTTTTCAAAGAAACAAGGTGTTGCAGAGATAATAACAAATTCAAAAATTTTTCCAGAGAAGTCTACTTGACCAGGTAATCCAAAACATTGCTAGATGACTTCCTATTGTTTAGCAGTAAGCTATTGTTACCAATCAATCTAAAGAAAAACTTTCAAATTCTTATTTTTAATTAATATATATGAAATGTTCCTTCACTGGTTGGTACAAAGACACTTAACTTTAAAAAAACATAAGGGCAGTATATACTGATTAATGTAAATAATCAATGACTATTAATCGTAACCATGATACTAATTACCCATATTCCATACATTGAAGTTTTCCCTATTCTTAATTTATAATAAGAAAAAAAGAGCAAAATAAATAAAATTTTCGTTTATCGTCTCAACTGAGAACAACTCAGTCGGGGCATCATCTTTACAGATTACATAAGAGGAAAAAGATGGTATCACGTATACTTTTCTTATTATATTTTCATATAATAAGAAATATATACGTTATAACGCATATTTAAATTTGAACGCTAGACTAGTATACACAAATTTGCAAATTATGCCTAAAGTTATTTTAAAAAATTTTTAAAAGAAAATTAATAATAACAATGATATAAACACCTTTAAATTAAGCATGGAGTTTTACAGGCTTCAGATTTCCTTATTCTGTTATTAAATAGTCATTACAGAAAAATGAAAGAAATTAAATAAAATCGAAAAAATAAATTTGAATACATAGATTATAGTATTTTATTTGTTATAGAGTAATTTAAATTTGTTTTTCTCATATGATTTCTTAACTCAGTAAGACCTACAAAAAAATTTGAAATTTTTCTTTACAATTCCCAATGACATCGAAAAAAAAAATACTGTTATATAATTCACAATAGAAACGAAGAACTTTCCTGTAAAATAACAAAACAAAATTAAAAAACAAATCATGCGTGAACGCAAACATAAATCCTCACGCTCCTATAATTTAAGCCCATTCAATCATAAATGATTGAGTTGGCATACAAAATAATCATTGTCACGACATTTAAAATTTTGACTTTAAAAGTCAAAGTCAAATACACAGTTATATGATGGCCGTTCTAGTTAAGGTGGAAAAATACAAACAATGAACTTAAACTTTAATACTTTTCTACAAGTTAAGGCAAATAATCAATTCCACAGCTGAGCTATCAAATTGTTCTCTTAGAACTTTACTAAACGAACAGTTTACACAATTGAAGTTTATGGATAAATGATTATAGTGTGTTAGTTTGGAAAAAATATATATAAAGAGCAGCTACATTGCTTAAAATAGATTGCCATTTTTATATTTGAAATGCGCATTATTTTTCACTTGAATGCTTTTAACATTCAAGCGATGATTTGTAATTAAGAGTCCACCATGTTATGTTGAATTTAAATAGTCATATTACATTACTGGTAATTTTGTAGTATTAACCTGCGAACTATAAATATTTACCAACTCAAGAGCTTAAAAAAAAATATATAGGAATAAGTTTTAACTTGAATAATTTAATTTTTTGTTGCGAAGGAAATTTTTGGAAAAGAAATCAGATTGTCATATTAATGCCTAAATCAGATGCCATTACTTTTTATGTCAATATTTTTCATTCATCATCATCATCAGATGTCATTATTGTTTTAGAAATCAGATGACGTAATTTTTTATGAAATGACTGTCAAATAATTTTTTGTATTGATTGAAAAAGTGTCAATTTTTTAACATTTGAAGCTTTTGGTTTCAAAACTTCACTGTAAAAAATTTCGGATTAAATTACGGCAAAGAGTACCAGCACTCAGGGTGTCGGTACTTTTACCGTAAAATCCATATTTGCCGGAACATGCTGAGCAAAAATCTGGTATACACCGTAATTTTTACAGTGAAAATTGCGTTATAATATTTTATTTTTGAAATGGATTATACGGTTGGTGCATTCAATATGCCGGTTACTTATACCGTAATCAGCAATTTTATGAACCGTAATCCGTAATTTTATCCGGAATTTTTTACTGTATAATTTCGTTAACTGTAATATTTTATGTTTAATGCCAGAAAATGAAAGTGCTTCTTTTTTATTGCAGATTCCCCCATTCCATGGTCCATTTAAAGTCTATACCAAGTTTCATCCGCATTGGTGTACGAAGACGGATTTATATGTTGTTCTAGACAGGATAGTTTTAATTATAACTACCCTAAATTATTTACTTTCATTTTAATCTACCAAATTTAAATCCAGCACCAATTTATTTATTTATTTCTTAAATAAGTAATTTGATTAAACATATTTTTTTTTTACTTCTGAAAGATGCTTTTCTTATTTCCCCTGGTGTTACCAATTTTCCATTGTATTTTTTCAATTATTTATTTTAGAATTCGGACATGCTACTATAATATAAGTCAAATTAATGATAATATTTGCTCATAAGGGAATTTTATCCGTTAAGAAAAATAGATAACCAGAACAATAGGAACAGATCATTAGCATTGTGTTTTATCAATGAGAGTTATCATTGAATTCAGAAATTATTGAACTCAGCAAAATTCTTGTCTTTTAACTAACACTATCGGGTTTAAGTTCAAAAAAAAATTATGTCATTTTATCATTTTACTCATTGTTTTTTCTTTGTAATGTTACTCAATTATTATTTCATTTAAAAGAAAGCCATTATTTATTGTTACGCTCTTAAACCTATTACTTGCTAATGTTGCGTTTTCATAACAGTAAGAACTTTTAAAAAGTACTTTGAAAAAAGTGATTGGAAATTAGCAAGTTGATAATTTCTAATGTTGACTACTGCTTTAGATTTAAAAAACATTGTAATTCAGATTTAAATTTTACTACTTATACAATTAATATTTGTTGGGGTGCATTATTGTCTTTTATTCCTTAAAAAAATTTGAAAAATGAAATATTTAATTAAAAGTTTTTATTTTCTGTGAAAAAGTACTGGAGAGAGTTTTTTGTTTGCTTGTGAACCAAAAAAACTCTTGTATGATCCATATAATTTTATATCAGATATAATTATTATGATTTGTATAACCGATATTTTTCCATCTAGTACTCATACAGTGAATTGAAAGCAGCTAGATCTATAAGATAGATATACACTGTAAAAATTCTGGATCAAGTTACGGTAAAAAAAGCAGGCTCTCAGAATGCTTTACATTGACGTTACATTTTTCCGTAAAATCCATTGTCACCGAAATAAGTTAAGGAACAAATTATGATATTCCATAATTTTCACAGTAATAAGTACAGAAAAATCACTAGATGACTATAATTAAAGAAATATTACAGTAAAAATTACTGCATAATATAATATGGTTAAATGTGCTTTACGGGTGATGTCCCTAAAGTGTTGGTACTTTAAACCGTCATTTGAACCAGAATTTTTTATTTTACCAGGTTCTTACTTTGCGCATTATGTTGTTATTTTAATAATTATATATCTTGTAATTTTAAATTCCACTAGCTTTGATGTTTGTGGCGGTGAACTGAAAAATATTATATAACTATTTTCTATAGAATTTTTTTCCGCTTTAGAATTTTAGATGAACACGATAGTTAGCATGCTAAATAACAATTTTGTGAAGTTGTGAGAATCGGTTTTAAAACTTATGTTGCTAAGTCGAAACAGCACGAAACTGTTTGAATAATAACTGTTGAAGATCGACCCAATTGCTTTTTCAGAACTTTCATTGCTCACTTATAAATTATCCACGATCAAACGAAGTCATTATTAGTAACAAGCCATTGTCTATTATGTAAAGAATAGAATAAGGGAACCACCATCTAAAAAAATAGATGGAATATTAGAATTATATAAGAAAGTTTCAGTTGACAATAAAACATGAATAGTTTTTTTTTTAACTAAATAGGCAAAATGAAGTTTTTTTTTTTAAATTTGGCGTTTACTTCTTTCTTCAAATTCCTGATTAAGTTGAAGCGCTGGCCTTACACAGAGAAAAAAAATTCTGAAAATTACCGAGCTTTTTGGCGTTTCCAATGAGCCAGAAAAGCGATGAATTTAACCATATTCTTTTAGTTTTGACCATACTTTTATTTTCAGTCTAAAACACCATAACTAGCATCAAACTAAAATCTCTTATAATTTTCACTTAATACGGTCAAACAACCATAATTTTATCGCCTCAAGTAGGCCCACCTAATGAAGCTACTTAGTTTCTCGCAGCTGGGTACATATTATAGACGAGCAGGCAAATATGTCAATCTCATGATCGACAGAACGGGGGTTCAAATCCCAGCGTTGACACCACAATATTTCCTCCATTCCTTTCAACACATGAAGAATTTATAGTGTACTGCACACCAAAATTTGTGACCATGGGCTATTAGAATATGATACTCTCATTCACGCATAGATGTCAACAACACCATAAGGCTGCTTTAAGCAAAAAATGTCTAGTATTTCCCATCTTTTACGATAGGTGAAACAACCAGGTAAACTAATTAAACCACATTTATTGCTATTTTCCTACAAAGCTTGTTTCAAATGGTAAAAAAAAACTTCATAGTTTTACAATCATGGTTTTTTTTTAACCATTTTAAACGGTTTTAAAACCGTGAAGGTAAAAAACGTTCTTTGTCATAAGCTTTACAGTTTATTGGATAGACAGATTGCTTCCGGTTATTTTAGATTGGAAATTGTAACAGTTCAGGATTGTAAGCCATAACAGTTGTTTATTCAAAAATAAAATTTATTATTACAATAATATATAATATTATTCTTTATGTTTAAAAAGTCTAAATAAATATTTTTGCAAACGAAAATTTGATTTTTTTTTTCTGTCTCGAAACAGCTATTCGAAAAGAAAGATAAGAGTCGATGTACGTGCAAGATTTCAACTTTGTGGCTCTTATTTGCAATGTGGATAAAAAATAAGAAAATGCAATCCCGCACCACTTTTGGCTTTGCGGGATTTTGGGACTCATGAAATTGACAAGTCACAGTCGAGCAATCCATTGAAGCTTAAAACTAATGTAAAATAATAATTCTGACAACGGAGAGAAATATGAAAGAACAAAGAACTTGTAAGCAACATTGACATTCAATCTTTTATGAAGATAATACTAAGAGAATCGTGAAAATTATTGTTTTAAAACGCACTGCCATTGCAATTTTTTATTTAATGTTAAAAATTAGAGCGTAAGAAATAAAGACTCCAATCAGTAGTCTAGATTGAATTTTATTAACGATAACACTCGATGAAATGGCTCTTTCTGACTAGTCCACTGTTTGTTGATTCAATATCCATCCACACATCTTCGAATACTCTACCATGTGATCCACCTCCTTCAAAGAGATTAATTTCTTTTTCGATTGAATCAATTTCTTGTTTATCATAGTTTTTCCATGTACTAAGGATACCATACAGTTTTGTACAGCTAACTTTTGCTCATTTATTGAGAACTCTGGTTTATCATCTTCAATCACTCGTTTTCAAGTGTCCCTGTTTTCACTTCTATTCTCATCCTTATTGACGATATACCTTTGACAATATCTGTTTTTGTTTTTCTTGTTTTAAAAAAACATATTCTCCTTCACTTAATTGCACTGCTAAAATTTAAAAACGAAAACAACTCTTGGAATTCGCTCTCATATCATTGGACTGTTCGCGATTATGCAGAAGCTGCAAAACACTGCTCGTATCCGTTCTCTTCTGTTGAATGAGAGTTTCAAGTAAACATTTCAAACATTCACTTAAATCTTCATTCTGACTTACAATTTTGCTTCACAGAAAATTCCTTATCACATTAGCTGTTAACAAATTACTGTCGCGTTGGCAAACACATTCAACAGCTATTTTAACTATCTGCAGAACATTTACAAGCACAGGAACTTGATCGAATTTCACCTCAGAAACAGTTAGTGCCGGCTTGATATCGAAGCTTTTTGTATGCAGTCTTTTAATTTAAAGCTGTTTCTCAAAGGCTTCGTCGTAATATGTAATGATGCTTTTTTGCGAATAATATGCTATTCTCATAACTACTGTGAGTTTGCAATTGTTACTCATGATTGTACAGTCCAGTTTAGCCTATTAAAAGCCAGTGATGTCTATGCTTATTTTGAATCCTTATAAATGGGACAAAACGTAAATATGGAGAAAAGCCACAGTTTTGTGAAAATGAAAAGCGTTTGTGGTCTAAGTTTTTAATATTTGAAAACTCACTCTTATGCTGCATAACCTGGGCTCATGAAAATTAGCAAAAATTAAGACTACGTTAATGATTTTGATAATTTTCATCCAGGTGGGTAAATGTTGCCAAATTGGCGATATTTAAAAAAGTTTAATAACTTTTAAAATATTGAAATTATTTGTCTGTTCTGAATCCCAGATAATTCTTCATGCCAAGATTATATACCTAGTTTGAAATCATAGTATTGCTTCAAGTGTAAGGCACTCAAACTATGACTTTTTTATCTTCCTTGGTGGCAGAGCTTCGAAACACAGCGTTTTTAGGAATCATATGAGTCTATTAAAAAAACTGTTCCATCTTGTGTAATAATATAAAATCAATGATAGTCCTTTTTTTAAACTTTTCTTTTGTGCAATTTTGCAGTGCTTAATTTTTTAAAGGGTTGTTTTGTAATATCGCCTGTTTTTAATATGTTTGTTTGCTTGATTTGTTTTTTGATTTGTGAATCAATATTGAGCAAGAACTCAAGAATCAATCTTCTTTTGTTACTAACAAGTCGCACTTGATAATGTGTCTTTGTAGATAAGAGATGTGTGTGGGGGGGGTAGAGAAGGGATAGTTGCGTGATCCAGATATCAGAGATAAACCTTCAACATTTTAAAAGATAAGATTTTTTTTTTTTTTCAAATTTCTGAATTTTGATCCTCTGGGATTGAAGTCCCATTCCCGCACGACTAGTCCCGCAAACATCTGTGCGGAATCCCGCCTGATCCCGATTGGGATCGATTATGCCTTCCCTAATCAAAATCCAAATTTAAATATAATTTTGTTTGATTTTGCATTTTATTTATTTATTGCAGAGACCAAGTTCTGAAGTTTTTTTTAAAAAAAATATTGTTTATTTATTTATATATTTATTTTTCCTAATTTTTTTAATGTGCGCGTGATGGGGTAATGTAAAGAATATACCCCAAAGGCTCTTTCAATCACTTAAAACAAAGTTAAGTGTTTAAATACTGTGATTAAATGTACTAAACATTCTTATTTTCAACATTGAGTTTCACTTTTTAGTTATTTATTTTTTTAATATATCAATTTTAGCCCAAGTCTTTAATTTTACTTTATATATAGAGAGAGTTGTTAGATACATAGAAACAAAGTCTGTCGAAGAAAAAAAAAGGAACTTGAATTAAATTTTATCAACTACTGCTATCTAAAATAGATTTAGCAATAAATTCGACTAGATTTTTCTCTTATATTTGAGAGCAAATAAATGAAATATAACTAGGACATCTTAGACACAATCTATAATTTCATACTTATTTTCGATTCATTCTTTTACTGCCTAAAACAAGTGACTACATTCGCATTGTTCTTTTATTCGTGATTTTACTTATTTTATATTTTATTCTGTTTATTGAACATAAAAAGCATTATTTTTGTGTTCCAACCAAAGATAATACGTTATTATGCTTCTATGCTGTGTTATATTATTACAAGAGATATTATTATAAAAAAGTAACTGTGTAATAAGTGAAATCTTCTTTGAGATCTCTTGAAAATGTTACATTAAATAGAAATGCAACTGAGCTTTAAATATTTTAAGTAGAACTTGAAATCCGATTAAAAGCACATGGAAAATGGGATTTTTTTTCCTCGTGTTACTACTACCACTACATTTTTTTTTTAAACAATTCTGTATTTTAATTTGTTTTCTTATTTTGTTATGTAAAATACGTTTTCTTTAAAATTAATAGTATTTCGTTGAATTATAAAGAAATTTCCTTAACTTCTTTCGCCACATTTTGATTTTAAATTGCTCTTGCATCCGAAATTTTGACGTGTTCACGGAGCCTGCGCACCTCTATTCCACAAAATTTAAATTTTTTCAATAGTGCTTAATCTTTCGAGAATACTAATAAAAAGATTTAAAAAAAATATGCTCTTTTATATTTATCAGTAAATTAGAATTAAAGTGTTAAAATATATCATTGTCACAAAAAATGTCACATTCGATGGCTTTTCGATGGAAATTGTCTTTTACCTCCATAAGTAAATTTAAATTTTTAACAATGTAAGTAAGCAACGAAAAAAAGATTTTTTAGCAGTTGAAACTTTGTGGCTTAATCTAGGTTAGCCCGAACTCACTTCTTCTATGCTTTTATTTTAAAGTAGTTATCTAGATAAAAATAGAATTTGCGATGAAAACTTTCTCCCGTGGTGTGGCGTCCTCTTCAATAACACATTTAGTTTTTGATGAACACACCTCTAATTTTAGTAGTTTATCTGGCTTCATGGGCTAACTACGATAGAGGGAAAAAAATTGAAGATAGCAATGGCACGGCTGATAGCACAACCACGTTGATTTTGAGTTGTTTTCGCGTTTTCTTTATGTTCATTCGAAGATTTTTACACAAAAGTTCGAAAAAATCAATTGCTGCTTAAAAATCGAAAATATTATTACACAAAAACACCGAATCAAAAATAATAATGATAAATATTTCTTTAGGTTTTAAATAAGAGTAATTGTATTTTTATTGACCGATTCTAATTATATAAAGCTACTTCCTATTTTTGTTATTTGTTTATTTATTTTCTTAACGTTCGAAATTCTTTATAATCTACGTAAAATATTTTCTTTTTTTAAAATGAAACTATTTTAAGACAAATTTGTGCCTCAATCTTTTCCAAAAATCTAGCGAAATTTTATCGAAATACTGAATACTATGTCAGATTGGGAGGAATATTTTAATGCTTGGACTGGATAGTTTGAAATGGATTTGAATTTAAGCTCCTCATTTTCCGAAAACTCTAATCAAGGTTTCATAATTAAGAATATTTTAATGTTACATTCAAGTTAAAAAAATTTGAAGGCAAGTACTCCAACATTCCTCCCCCCCTGGGATGCTCAATCAAATAAGAGAAAACTAAAATCAGTGTTATTAAGATTTTTCGTACACGTTATCTTACGTCTGATGATGAGTTGGACATCCTGCTTATTTTAAATTTGGAATTCGTTTTGCAATAATTAAGTAATTTGTATTTATGGTTTTTCGGATTTTTCGTTGTAAATGAAGAACTAATCAGAGTAAAAGTTATAATTTTTTGAAGCAACCAACTTTAATGACTGACAACTTTAAATTTTTAAAAACTTAGCTTTCTGGTTTCCANATATACATATATATATATATATATATATATATAACATAATAAATACATAAAAACACGAAGAAAGTTAAGAAAAACAATAAGTTTCATTTATTGCGCATAAGCTGCAAGTAAATAGAACTGGACAATTCCATATGTGACGGAATGACATTTTGACTTGAAAAATAACATTTCATTTAAGTTTCTATGCATCTAATTTCAAGTGAACATTGCTTTTTCTCATGCATATCATTATTATTGGCATAATGCAATTCATAAACTAAAAAAAAAGGATTTTCTATCTTTTTTATTTTTAATTTTACGATCTTTTTATTTGTGTGACGGAATGACATTTTGGCAACCAAGCTTTTGGCATGCTGCTTAAAACTGGTAGTTTCTGTGAATTTTGCAGCTATTATTTTTCTGAACTGTTTTTTACTTTTAGTATAATGTGTGAGCAATGTAAAATCTGAATTTGGAAAATTAACCTCAGGTTGGCTAGCAGTTATTAGCATCTATTTGCTGTGACGGGATGACCGTGACAGAGTGACAAAAAGTTTAGTGGAAGAAATTTTTCATTTAAAAAATGTTTTATTAATATGTAAATGATAAAAAGAATGTAACAGATAAACAGGATTAATGTGTATGTCACCGATANAAATGTCACATTCGATGGCTTTTCGATGGAAATTGTCTTTTACCTCCATAAGTAAATTTAAATTTTTAACAATGTAAGTAAGCAACGAAAAAAAGATTTTTTAGCAGTTGAAACTTTGTGGCTTAATCTAGGTTAGCCCGAACTCACTTCTTCTATGCTTTTATTTTAAAGTAGTTATCTAGATAAAAATAGAATTTGCGATGAAAACTTTCTCCCGTGGTGTGGCGTCCTCTTCAATAACACATTTAGTTTTTGATGAACACACCTCTAATTTTAGTAGTTTATCTGGCTTCATGGGCTAACTACGATAGAGGGGAAAAAATTGAAAATTGCAATGTCACGGCTGATGGCACAACCACGTCCGCTTGAAAATTCTCTCCTTGAATTTGAATTGTTTTCGCGTTTTCTTTATGTTCATGTCCCGCAGTGGACTGATCGTTAAGACACGATTCCCTGCAGATCACCGAAGTCAAGCATCACTGGCTGCGGTCAGTGTGCGGGTGGGTGACCACTTGGATCAGTCTACGTAGGGACCGAGGGTGTGCGGTATTGGTCCCCGTTAAACTGTTCTACCGTAAAGTGCTCGACTTCGCGTGCAGGTCGTCGGGCTACCGAAGCTGGGGTGCCATCCCCTCTGCAGAGGATCAAAATTGTGATGGCATGTCTTCGGATTATCCTTTGACTTTTTTTTTTTTCAAAATCAATTTTTCTGAAAAGTTTATGCAGCTATTTGTGACTTTATAATCAGCGAAACTAATATGCCAATTTAATGCCGTTTCCCTATTTCATTTATAGATTAAATATGTAAGCATTTAAAATATTTATAAGATATTAAAAAAAACTTATTATCTATAGTTTACTTCTCTAGTTAATTTTTAAAGTATAAGTAATGCTGCCTCTTATCAAATATACTAGCAAATAAAATGTTCAAATATAAATTAAGTTATAATGATATCATTTTAAACACAAAAATAAATAGTTTTTTTTTTGAAAAAAAAAAAGATTACATTTTTAAAAAATGCAAAAGTTAAAAAAGTTTTGAATTGTTAGCATTTTAAATAAAAATCCGTTCAGACGCATTTTTATTTTCACAATTTTTCAAAAGTTGAATATTTTTTTCTTAGCTTCTTTTCTTTCTCCTCTGTTTTTTTCTTCCGTTTATTCATTATTTATTTCTTCTTCTTTTAGATTTCGGAGGAGTTTTTTTTTTTTTTTTTTNNTTTTTTTTTTTTTTTTTTTACTTATTTTGTCGATACTACAAAAGAAGTAGAAGCCATCCCACCCTAGCTTAAAATGCTTATACCAACCCCCTCTGTTTTTTATTGATGATGTTTTTGTGAGTATTTTGAATTATGGAACATGGAATAGTTAATTTATATATAATATTTTAATTTATATGTAATCTATTAATTAATAGGTAATCTATTAATTTTAAACTAAAATTCTAAAAATTAAATTCCAAGTTAATTCTGAATGCCGATTAATTTGCAAAACTAAATAAAAAGATATCAGTGTTTATAAAAATTTTAAATTTTATTTTTTAATATCAGGGCTTAAACTTTTTATTAAATTTTTGAAATTTAATAAAAGATAAAAAGTTGTATTGTTGTTTGTATTGAGTTAATTACTTAAAAATTAATTGTATTGCTGTTGTTCTAGAAAAAAATTTACTATAGAATTTCGTCGAAATTATTAAGAATCACTCAAAATTGTTTCTATTTCTTATTCTTATATTCGTTTTTCCGATATTCATATTAATGCATAATATAAAAAAATAATAAAAAGGCTTAAATCATCAGTAAAAGGTATTTTAAGAAATAAATAATTTATATTTCAGTTTTGACTTTGAAATAAACTTCTGGCATAAAATAAAATAGCTTTTTCTTCCTTGGTTCAACATAATGTTTGAAATTAAAGTAATTTATTTTCCTAAAATAAATTATTAATACTATTCTTACTTCGCATAAATTAATTTTAGATCCTAATGAATGTATTAATTTCACCACACATAATATATTATCTTCAGGATCAATTAATTTAACTTTTAACAATCTTCACTAGATGGCAACACGATGCCCTTTCTACGTTTCAGGTTTTTATTTGTAGAATTAGTTTCAAGCGGCTTGCTCGCATATTACTAGTATGAATGTACCTTTAACATTGCATTTTTGGCCACCGCGTTCTATTGTTTCTAGAATTTCATAGAATAAACTGTAGCTGTAACTACTGTTTATTTACTACAAAAAATCTCACTCGCTTTCCTTGTTTCATGTAAACTTTTATTAGTCAGCTATTCTCCAAAGCAATTTCGATAATTGAAATTAATCAGTTAAGTAGAAATTAGTCCGAAGTAAACGGTAGCGATGGCGGAAGACGAAATGATGAAAGCACAGCTGGCTAAACCTGGAGGTGATACCATATTTGGTAAAATTATTCGTGGTGAGATTCCGTGTAAGTTTGTATATGAAGATGACAAATGCGTTGCTTTTAACGACATCAATGCTCAAGCTCCTGTTCATATACTTGTAGTTCCACGTAAGCCTATTATCCAGCTAAGTGCCGCAGAAGAAGAGGATGAGTCTCTCATTGGTCATTTGTTGCTTGTAGCTAAAAAGGTAGCTAAGGAACAGGGTCTGGCTAACGGTTTCCGAATTGTAATTAATGATGGACGGGATGGTGGACAAAGTGTATATCATCTCCATGTTCATATTTTAGGTGGTCGCCCTTTACTTTGGCCACCTGGCTAAAATAAACATTACACTTCTCAAATATAACTAAAATAAACATTATTACTACTTTTCCCACTGTTAATTAATACTGTCGAATTTGAAATATGAAGTCTTCAAATAAAAGCGCAATTTTCTGAATTCTTGTGTTTTTTTCTGATATATTTATTTTTTGTTGCTATGCCACATAAATTTCTATTTCCTTATTGTGTTTATTTAATTTTATGACTTTTTAAATTAAATGTTTATTAAATGAAAGTGTCCTTGATTATAATCACACATATTTAAACTTTCTCCTTCCCTTTGTCATATTTCATCATCCTTATACATCTTTTGTCCCAGTTTCGAAACGAAGCACTGCAATTTAAATTATATTAAAAAATTAATTTTTAAGGTTTATTTGTGTTGTAATAATTTTAAATATAACAATATTTATAATTACTCATGTTTATATATATATTGAGGAAAATATTTAAGATAACAATTTTTAGTCTGCTGGTTTTAAATCTAAATATGTAAATTTACAATTCAAATTTGTTATGCTGGGCTGATTGTGCTCCGGAAAAAATCCGGATTTTTCGCTAACAGTGATCCGGAGATCAAATTTTCAAAGGTGGAACTTAAAAACACAGTATATTTGATTTGTTTGTAAGGGAGAGCCTGAGAGATATTTTATAAGCTTATATTCATGATTAATATTAATTTTTTATCAGTAAATAGTTGTTATAATCATAAACTCAAAAAAGAAATTTTAATTACTTCTCTGGATCATCATAGGTATGGGTAAAATTTTAAATATATTTTAAGTAAACTAAGAAATATTGAGAAAAACGAAGAAAAAAAAACTTGTTTAAATTTTTACTAATTTTTCAATGCAAACTGTTTTTGTTTTTTTTTCAACTCTAGAAATTTTCTTGAATTTTGACTTTGGCTCACAATCACTCCTGTCAATGTTTCATGTCTTTTCCATCTGCTCCTTCAATGAAATCTTTTATAAATAAGATTTTTAGGATATTCCTTAGACAGATATAGTATAACAGCTGTACTGTGCCATTCAAAAATTATGCAGCATATAAAATATTATAAATTCAAGGGAAAGAAAGGTAAATTCTTGCAGAAGGAGTTTTCCTTTGGGAAGTAAAAAAAGTTTGTTTTTCTTTCCTGCAGAAATTTTCTAAAGATTTTTTTTCTTCAGAATTAGTAGGTCAAAAGATTTTTTTTTTTGCACATCGGATTGGACAAAAATTGCTTGTGATTTTTCTGTTCTCATTTGAGAATAATGAAGTAAAGAGCGTTGGTTTTCTTTTCTGCTGAAGTTTTGCTCTATTTTTTATGCAATTACTATTACTGATTTCCACATAGCTTTAATAATCAAATATTTTTTAAACTGTATAATGTATTACAACTGAATTTCAAAATGGAAACACATTTAGTAATCCCTTTTTGAAGAGTTTGAGTGAATTTGTTGTCGATCTTTTCCTTCGGTAGTTACTGCTACGAATTTCATGTTTTTTTTTTTAAATGTGATGATGATTTGCAAAAGATGAAAAAAATAATTATAGTCTTTCCCCCCTTGAAAATGCAAGAATTTCGACATAATATTAGAATAAAAAAATATTACATATTCAATTAAAAAAAAGTTTTTTTTTGTTTTGAAGTTGACGCTTCTGTTAATTTAAATTAGTAACATGTGTATTTGTAATTTTTAAAAGTATCTTGCAGAAAGATATTGCAGTATTAGAGAGGTATGTCGCAGAAAGCCTGATAAAATTCTGCCACGGGGAAATAACACGTATATTATTTTCTTATTAGTTTAAAATATATAATTTTTTTGCTTGTTTCTAAAAACTTATAGGCTCTACTTATTAACTGAGAGAGAAATAATGTAATCCAATTATTTTTACCTTTGTTTAGTCTTAATAACACAAGATTTTTTTAACTATGTTGGAATAGTTATGACAATTAATAAAGAACAAGTTGAGTGGTTGCTAAATAAAAGTGGCCACTAAAAAAATTACCATCACTAGCCACCATCTCTTTTTATCATTTCCCTCCCCAAACTCACCATTCCTTAGTTTTTTAGAAACCCATCCACATAATGAGCAAGAAATTGTTTATTTTCACCTGAATAATTGAACCTTAATAAGTGAATATTTTCAATCTCGCAATGTTTAAAAGCTGTTATTAATTTCACAATTTTGTAACTTGACCTACATGATTAATAAAAATTTTAATCATTCTTTACCAATTTAAATAAATCCTGTTGATCTAGTAAATATCCTATTCTTGAAAAGTGTGAATTTCAATTTACTGTCACAAATAAAAAGATTGTTTTTTTTTTTTTTTTTTTTTTTTTTTTTTTTTTTTTTTTTTNCTGCTCGCTAACGCTCGCCAACCCCCGAAAATTGCTACGCAATGTTAGATGGTTTGCTTCGCAAACCAAGCTCGCTTCGCTCGCTGCTAACTAAGGTACATTGCAAATGCACAAAATTCAAAACAATCATTCAAATCCATATAACAACTTTTTTTTCTAAAAAATATTACATCTTTTTAGTAAATACTGAGTCCTTAACATAAATTTGAATTCAAATAAATGACATGTAATTCGTTAAATCTATTAGAAATGTGCAATAGTATAAAATCTTAAGATAAAATTTTTAAAACTGATATCTCTTTGAAAAGGTTAAAATTTCGGTTATAATTAAATCTATAAAAAATTGAAATAAGTAAATTGCAATGGAAAAACCTGCATAAACAAATAAATTCTAGTAAAACAAATAAATTCGTGATATAAATCAAAAATTGTCAAATAAATTCGTAATACATAAATTCGTGAAGAAAAAAAAAAAACGCTTTCGACAAAAAACTAAAATACAGATCTATCGACAAAGACTTCTGCCTAGCTTATGCTCTCCCTGGTTATTTCAGTTTCCGTTTTTAAAAGCGCTGTATGTTGAGCCATCTTAGCTAGATTTGGTATGTGACATTTTTACCGGCAATCATTGGTCTATTTTCTAGCGTTGCCATTCGGGGAGTTGTAATGAGGCTTTTTTTTATCGCCGTGTAAGAGAAATATATATATATAGATTCTGTTGATCTAGTAAATATCCTATTCTGGAAAAGTGTGAATTTCAATTTACTGTCACAAATCAAAAGTTTTTTTTTTAGTGCATGCATATATATGTGCAGTGCGCCAAAAATTAAAATGGGCCACCCTGAACAACTTTTGATGTAATGATCTGATTTTCAAGATATGGATGTAACAGATATTCGGCCACAGTTTGGATTTTGCTGAATATTCGACAAAGTGTTATTTGGAAAAATATTTTTTGATAAAGTATTATTTGATAAAGTATTTTTCAACGAAGTGTTTTTGGAGAGAAACTTGAATAGATTTCATAGAAAATAATCTAAAAACTTCTATTTTTACTGTAAATTATTAGAAATTTTTGATGCGAATAAAAAAGCAAAATTTGAAGAATTGAAACTAGGTTACTTTATACAGAAACATGAGCTTGGTAATGATGATTTTTTTAAAAATATGTTCAGGCAAGTTAATTTTTTCACTTTTTTTAATGTTTTAAAAATTGAGAATTTTTTATTTTATTTATTTTCTAAAAATTAAGTTATACGAAAAACTTTATTTTTATTGTTTTTTGTAATAGCTATATTGCAGTGTTTTAGCAGAGCATTTCATATAGACTTTATTTGTTTGTCACTTTTTTCCTGTATGGTAACACAGATTACCAGCAACATAGAAAACTAATTCTTCACATTAGTTATATTTCAGAACTGTGAAAACAAAAAAAAATTTCTATTGCAACATTTTTTAAAGAGTATCTAATGAACATTGTTCTCTTATAGCCATTTTTTTTTCTAAAAATACGACAACATAAAAAAGTTAAATTGAGAATTTTAGGGTTGAATCTTTCATTTAAAAATAGAGTACAATTTTTGTTTTAGTTTCCATCAAGCTTTTTCGATATGCTTTTTTTTGTTGGCGTTTTTATTAGACTTCAAACTTCAATTTTTCTCAAAAATACAGTAACTGGAAAACTGAGATGTTAAGCTTTAAAATTATCTTGCAAAAGTTAAGATAAATTTTTATTTTTCTGCTTTGTTCTGGTATATAATATGTTTTTTCATTGAAGATTTTATGGCAGCGCTGCATTCTTAAAAGCATTTCTGATAGGCCTATATCTTTTTTAGCGTTTTATAGATTTTTTTTTTGCCCGAAAATATTATTTCTAGCATTAAGTTTTTGTTTTAAAAATTAAGACTATTTTTTTGTTTTTTTAACTTTACAAATTTAGTTTTTTTTTTTTTTAAAGCTGTTGGTCAGTTTTTTATTTACCTTAAATATTTCGAATTATCTTAAACATTTATTAAGTTTTTTTTCCCTTTACCCCATACCAATAATACAGCTAAGTTTTGATTATTTTTCAATAATGATTAAACTTAGTTGTACCTAAAAAATATTGATTAATGATTTTTTTAAAATATTGTATTGCTATTCGGCCGCCAAGTATTCGGTATTCTCCAAATCACTTTGTTACATCACTACTTCCCTCTCTAGAACTCAATCTAATGTTTCGAGGGGGTGACCTCAAATATGACAATAAGTGCCGACGATATTTTAAGTTAAAAAATCGGACACAAAAGCGTATTTTTTCTGAATAAACATACCTTTATTTCAACTGATTTGGATTTCTGGTCCCCTAAATGTAAGCGTTAGCCGCAATCTAGTAAATATGGTCCCCATAGTTCGTCAGGATCCAAAGTTTGGACCCCTTATTGTTAATTTTACTTTTTGCATATTTCACAATATCTCTAAAACTTTTTTAATGACTTGAAGAATTTTTGCACACTATTATAAAATTTGTTTATCCGAAAAGAATTCCATGCAAATGATAAATTTTAGTAAATATTCATTATTTCATTAACTAATAGTCGAAAAATTCTTGAATCGAATGGTTTACAATTTTTTACATTATTTTTAAGTTCTCGAGATAAGGCGAAATACACGAAAAGTAAAATTAATGTAAATTAGTCCACACTTTGAACTGCTCTCAAGACCGTACTATGGGAACCATATTTCCCTGATTACGGCTGCCTTCTATTTCGGGGTCAGAAACACGAAAACATTTATACAGAAAAAATATATTTTTGTGTCTGATTGCATAACTTAAAATACCTGCACTAATTAAGTAGCATATTTGAGGTTACCCCCTTGAACTATTCAGAAAAGTCCTAAAACTTGAAGATCCGATCATTAGATCAAAAGTTATTCAGGGTGGTCCGTTTTTTATTTTGCGCATTGTACATCTCTTCTGAAACTGTTGTAATATTATAGGGTGCCGTCGCCTCCCATACGCTATCGCCCCTTATATTGACCTATGTCGCAATGGCAGCATAGCAGAACGTTCGTCACATCGTTATGCAACATGTTATGCCACTCATGGCTTTACTCTCAGAAACCATTTTTCAGCAAGATAATACTCGGCCACACACATCAATGGTGACACATGAATTCCTCCGCGACATTACTATTATCACCCTTACCTGGTGGTCACAATCTTCAGGTTTTTCACCGAACTAGCATATCTGGGATGGCAGGTTGGACAGTCTCCATGTTTACTCGATTTAGTGGTCATCTTGCAGCAGCTGTAGAACAAGATGTGGCAGGACATCGTAAGGGAATTATATGGCATCCTGCAATCGAGCTAGCATTGGCCCAAGACTACTAAAACCTCCATTCATTTATATTTTTTTTCCTTCAGTAAGAGTTAATTTTCTTTGATTATGAACTTTCCTATGTAAAATTTTGCTTCATTCTGCCAATTCCTTCTAGATGCGCTAATTTTTATAGCGAATGAGTGTAATTGCTTGGCTTTTTATTTAAACTTGACAGCTTCCATATCATTCCACAGGGTTGCCACAGGTGACTAAAATGCGACTATTTCTAACTATTTTCGACTTGTGGCAACTATGGCTACTTTTTCTTTTTTTTTTGCCTGAAAAGGCTATAAAAGCTACTATTTTCAGGAAAAGGAGACTTTCCTGTGCTCCTAGCAATGTTTTTTTTAGTATAAATTGGGTTGACAACCTGCGTCCCGCGGTAGCTTCTGAATATAATGAATTTTTTTTCTTCTATGAATGTTGAATTGCAAATTTCAGTCATCACTTTTTAATGCGCTCAATTTGTGCAGATTTCATTATGAATCTATTTTGTTTCTCAATTGCCTTTTCAACAGTTATTGCTACGAAACTCTGCATGATTTTAAAGAACCCAATTTTTAATACGATACTATGATGCAAGAATTTAGAATTTTAGTAATCACTTTTTCAATATATATATGTATATATATATATATATATTTGCTAAATTAATTATTGATAAAAGGGAAAATTAATAGAAAGAGTATGTTGTTTTTTTTTAACAAAATATTTTTCTGCATTAATTCTAGCATTTAAAAGTATTTAATGTTCTACAAATATACTACCTTTTTTTTTTTATAAAAAAATTTAGTGCTAGAACACTAACGTTTATTTGAACTTATCATATTGGCCGTCAACTTGGCAAAATGGATCATGGTATATTACAATGAAGTCATTTAATAATATTTTAGTCATATTATTGAAAACTGTTTGCTATTTAGGCAACTATTTTCTTAATTTTAGGCGACTATTTTCATGCTTTAGGCTACTAGAAGCAACTATTTTGTTCATTTTTTTTGTGGCAACCCTGATTCCATGAAAAAAACCATTGCTTTGCTCACCAATCGCCAAGGTTTATAGCTTAAGAGAAAATGTTTAATTTTAAAACATTTCATAGGACTGGGACTCTATAAAACAAATTAAGAGGAAGAGGTAGGAATGCTCGAAATAACCAACTTGTTCGCTCATCTACACAGATGCACTGTAGATGTAAGTACAAACTACCTGGAATCATACAGAGTATACTGTGCTCTTTTTCCTGTCCTTGTTGTGCACATTTTCTCCTAGATTTTCCTTATACCTTAAAAAAGAAAATTCTAAGCAATTTTTTGCAAATATTAAAAATATTTGTAAGGAATTGCAGCCGTACCCTTAGCAGTCTTAGGCTGAATGAAAGTTGTCCCTGTCTTTCCTTTTAGAACAGCCCTGGTTCCAGCTAATTAGAATTTATTCAATGTAAAAAATGGTTTCTCAAAATAGATGAAAATGTGTCAAAATAGCTCCAGAATAAATATAGTCTAACTTGAAATCATCATGTATTCAAAATTGAAACAGCACTAATTCATTTTTGATCAAAATGCATAGTTTCAAAAGTATTATAGAGGGTTAAAATTCCCTACTTTTTGGTTATAAATACCAAATTTTGTCTCATATACTACCAAATATGGTAATAAAACTGTTTTTTATTGTTAATGTCATAAAGGTCATTACCAAAACGCTTTGGTAAGAATAACTGTGCTTTTTGGTTGTCCCACAGGGCCAAAATCCCGATAAATTTTACCGTATTCTGGTGGTTTTAACCAGACTTTTTTTTCTCAGTGTATAATTCATACGTCATGTTCTAGTGTGTTAATGTGACGAAACCGAGGATTTTGTTCACTGTGGCGGTAATATTAACCAGAGCAGCTTGTTAATCGATTTGATGAAATTCCAGTAATTTTGTTGCATTATAGCTGTTTTTAAAAATAAGACTGCTGAATGTTATGAACTTGTTTTACTTTCTTGAAATTAATCATTCTAAGTTCTTACAAACTACATTTAAATCAATTAATTTGCACCAATTTATTTTGAAAGTATTGACACTAAATTTCACAATTTTTAGAACAGAAGAAGTTGGTAGAGCTTTGATGTAGCTATTGAAAGATGGGAAAAGTGGCTGCCTGAGTTTTCGAATATGATTTGCAATAATATTTTTTGCATTTAAAGCATTATAAATGTTAGAACGAGTTTTTCGAAGCTTCTAATATTATAACAATATATAAATACCATTAGTTATTATTAAATTACAACGAAGTATGATATGCATTCATACCTCCTCCTATTCGCTCTTGTTTCATTAAAATACTGCTAAATTATGCACTTTTTTTTCATTTCCTTAAATTAGCAAACCAGAATAATTTTATTTTTACCTTTAGCTTAAGCAGATTAGATAAATCCAAACTTGTATTTTATTTTCTGAGGATTGTACAACTTTAAATTTGTTGCTTAATGTGAATTTAGTGAATTCATAGTTTGGGCAGGAGAGCGATCCAAAGTTTGGACCACTTGTTAGTTATTATTTTATTTTTTGCTTATTTCGCAATATCTCGAGAACTTTTTGCACACAATTATAAAATTGGTTTATCCGAAGAGAATTCTTTGCAAATAATAAATTCTAGTAAATATTCATTATTTTATTTAAGGTTATTATGCAATTATTTTTCTTTTCGCTTAAAATTTTTTCGAGATGTGACGAAATACGCAAGAAAATAAAATTAACATTAAGGGAAATTCCAAACTTAGATCGCTCTCCTGACCAAACTATGAGGAGCATAATTTCCAAATTGTGGCTACCACCTATGTGTTTGCGGGTCAGAAACCCGATTCCGTTGAGGAACAGGTAAGTTTATTCAGAGAAAGTACGATTTTGGGTCTGATTTCGTAACTCAACGTATCACCTGCAATAATTAACTAGCATATTTGAAATCACCCTCTCAAACCATTATGATTAAGTCCTAGAACGAAAAGATTCCATCATTGGATCAAAAGTTAACTAGGGAAGTCCACTTTTTTTCTGTACTGTACATTTATTTTACCGTAGTTTCAAAATGATTTGGCTGTAAATATTATATCATGGAAAAAAAGAATACTTGTGTCTTGCATTTTCTCGCTCTCTTAAAATAGCCTAATTTCCTAGAATTTCCAAAAACTACAATTGTTTTACATTCTAGTATTTACGATTGATGAACAATTAATTAACCATTATATATTATTTAAAAATATTAGTATATATTTTTAAAAAAATTTGTGCATTAGTTTAAATAAATTTTAGTCTACTTTCCCTTTTTTGCCGTTATGAATTTGTCTAAAGATAAATATTTTTTCTCCAGCGAATTTAGGAAGTAAGGAAGAAAATAAAGGAAAAACGAATCTATAGATAATATCTGCGTAAATGAGTCGGAAAGTGTCATATTATCTCTCCTATAGTAGGCAATGGTTATACTACTTAAAAATCATTTCATCTTTGTTTATGTGATCAAGGTATGATTACGCTTGCTTAAAGATGACAGAATTTCATCTTGTTTCTTTGCTTACTCGCTTAGTAAATAAATATTAATAAAAATAAAAAGGAACATTTTGGTAAGTATATTTTGATACGTTAAACTAAAATAATATATTAACCATTTTGTGTTAATAATTACGTATCGGTATACTATTGAAACTTGTAAAATTGGAAGGGAAAAAAATAGATGAGAAGTAGTTTTGCCGTCTAACTCATAAGTTCGTAACTACAGAAATTATTTCTGCACAGCTTTCTATGGTATAAATTCGCAATTTTTTTAATTAAGGCACTAAATTTCGTGTAGTAATCTATACATATAAAAAAATAAAGAATTTGTGTGTGTCTGCATGCCGAATTGCAGGTATACGTAGTCACTAAAACTATGAAATTTAACATGAAATTGATTGTGCTGGGTGATTTGTAAATATAAATAGGGGTGCTAACAACACAACACATTTATTAAAATATAAAGACAGAATGAAAATCCTTTACAATATGAGTAAATTTTGTTTTATATTCACCATCATATTTTAGTTATATATTCACCATCTATCCTAAAAATAAAAACAAATGAACCCTACTGGAAGTTTTGAAGTACCCCACGAGGCATAATTTGTTATGGGAACATGGAGGGCTTTGTGACCCGACTGATTTAGCGTGGACCAACCACCCTTTTCTACATGCGAAATCTTCGGCCGGCTGGTTTCGAACTCCAGTTCTTACGAACGAGAGTCCAGCGCCCTGCCAACGACGCTATCACGGCCCAGGTATATAAGTAAATGGTTCATATAATGAAATGAAAAGTGAAATCACTGAAATACATTATTTCAATTTTAAAAAAAAGAAGACAGTAATACAGTATGTCACGAGGGAAAAGCAACCGAGAAAGACTAAACATGCACAAAGGAAAAAGAGGATGTTTATTGAACACTAATTATAAGTCATGTTGAATTCTTGTTATCTGTCAATTTTATTTTATAACCATCGTTGAATAGACGACTCAATTTTCGGATTTACGACTACTAACGTTTAACACCGTATCCTTGTAATTTTGAACCCAATCCAGAAGACAATTGAACTCCTAGATCAAGTATTGGGAAACATTTTTCTTCGTGGAGGACTCTTTATTAGAACTAACCAGCATTTCCGTTGCATGCAGAGGAAAACCTCACTCTGTTAGCCTGACGGCAAGAGGACTTAAATCCATGATCCGTCTATTATGTATATTTTACGGCAGCACTGTCGCCAGTGTGAGCCAGGAGCAGAATTCGCATTGACTTGTCATGGCTGGGATTCGTACCCGGTTCAGCTCATTGGAAGGCGAGCACTCTATCCCCTGAGTCACCACGGCTCCGTTGTCTGTCGATTGACAAATTAAGTTCTTTTAACAAGATTACCGAAAAGATTAATCAATACTTGTGGGAATTTTTTTTCTTCTCTTGTTCAATTTTCGCCTCTAGTACCGCGTTCGATGTCGGGCAATCTGCATACGCAACATTTTTTAAATACCTCCGTAGAGTATGATTCGAAGAAATTCAGACTTTGAGGAGGTCACACTCCTTTGAAAATTAGGCCATCCCTAAAAAACTGTAAGGAAAGACATGGTTGACTAAAGCGTTTGATTGGTGGCTTTATCCTGGTGAACCAATCATCTGGCGGAATCTCTCTGAGCACGTAACTATCGCACAAGCAATTACTCTTTCTTTGATTGCGCTATTTTCTTGTTTTACGGAGGTTGCGTTTAATTTGAGACATACTGTATATCTTATTTTAAAAAAATATAAATCATCGTGTAAGTGGAAATTAATCTACAAAAAGAAAAAAAAAAGAATTATTTCCAATAAAATAAAGCTCTTAATTTTGATCTTTAACATAAAGAAAATTTAAATTTTATTGGTGGTATTTCTCCTCATTAATCACCCTAAAATTTAAAACATAACTTTTTAAATTATTTTATATTCTACTTAAAATATTTTCCTTGAGCCAAATATTTAAGATATGCATTCATACCTCCTCCTATTCGCTCTTGTTTCATTAAAATACTGCTAAATTATGCACTTTTTTTTCATTTCCTTAAATTAGCAAACCAGAATAATTTTATTTTTACCTTTAGCTTAAGCAGATTAGATAAATCCAAACTTGTATTTTATTTTCTGAGGATTGTACAACTTTAAGTTTGTTGCTTAATNCACAGAAATCTGAAAGGGGTTTTAAATTTAGGTAGATGTTCATAATTGCGCTTAAACCTTCTTGTTTAAAACCACTAAGTAATGTTTTTTTTTTTTTTTTTTTTTTTTTTTTTTTTTTTTTTTTTTGCAAGTTCATTGCTGAAAAGTCCCTTTTAACCGCTGTAGTACGGGAGACAGAGAAAACATCAATTCCACCATGCGCAGTATGCTGCTGTATTTCTACATTAGAGGGTCATTTTAGAAGTGAGGCGCTAGACCCTTGTAAGAAAACAGAAATTGAAAATGTATCACCAACATTAATGGAAAAATGGCCGTCCGCGCGGCGGTCGGTTTCGAGAAATTCGTTGTCCGCGGGGAATTTTTGATCGCCGAGGACGGGAGGACGGGTGGTTTTTCGAGCCCTGATATGCCTTCATAATCAAAATAAAAAGTTTAATATCCGTAGTGATCGATTAAGTATCCACTTTTGACTGGGTTTTATAAATAATTATAAAACGTTTTGAAAACCAAGTCAGTTTCTTAAACAGAGCACTGCAAACCGTACATTGCTAGAACTGTGTCGCAATAAGTTAAACTAGTTTTTCTAACAAAATAGATACTATAATTTTTTTTAAATGTTTTAAGTTATCACATTAAGTTATTGACAAATTCCTACACAAAAATATCCTTATATTAGTTTTCGATTTTTTGTGACTATTTGTAAGTTACACCTCTGTTCACTAAGCTCAATTTCAATAAATTTTAAGATTTATGCTTAGCAACATCTAATTTTGCATTTTTTTTATTATTAATTGTCTATTTTTTGTTAACATGAAGTGAAGCATGTGCTTGTAAATGGAAGATTTCGAGAGGAATAATTTTTTTTTAAAAACAGTGTATAAATAGTAAGCAACAACAGTAGTAATAGTAAATAAATCATAAGAAGCGAAGGAAAAAATCGCGAAAAAGCATCTAAATAACCTTCGCACAAAATTGGAATTTTCGAAAAGAAAAAAACTTGGGTTAAGTTCATAAACAAAAACGGCCCTTTCAGCGAGTCAAATATTAGTTCTGTAGTTGCTATTCTACGGCTTGTAGAGCAGCCCGCACGGTAATTTTTATTGTAAGTTTAACAGTTGATAGTTCTCAAAGTAATTATCGAATGTTATTTTTTTTCAGTTCTATCGCTCCCTGTACGTGTATATTTTCTTGCAAACCTTTTCAATAGCAAGCTTCTACACCTCATAGTTTTTGCGTAGCAAAACAAAATGTAACGTTAAATTCAACACCTAATGTTTTTTTTTTAAATTTAGAAACTTATTTTTTGTTTGTCACCTTCTTAAAAATAATAAATAATGCCATTCAACCGTGAGAAAGTTATGAACTAATTCCAAAGTTTTTTGAGTCTTCTTACCATATTTCTGTGTATGTTCATTATTTAAATAAAAACGTAGATAATAGACTACAGGAAAAAGAAAAGAATGAAAGTTTTCTCAAGAATAAAGAAATGAGCAATAAAATAAATGACATCATCATAAACTATAACCCTCTTTTGGCTCTTGATCTGTAAGTTTCAAATTTACTAATTTTTGTAAATTTTTTTTTACTGGGTGCTTGGCATGATAAAATTATGAATATTCACGATCGCAAGGCTCGAATACGCCATCTGGGGAGTAAGCCGGTTCCATGTCTTGACCCTCCCTCCTTCCCTCTCCTCCTCTTAATAGTTGTATGGATGGTATTTTCTTCACTAGGGTGCACTTTACTGTTCATTCTGTTACTGTTTCTGGTGTATTTTGAAGTCATTTGGTTCACAACGTAATCATTTTGTTATGAGATTCTCTTGAGTAGCATTTCTTGTATACGTGTAATTTGTGCCTGATTTAGTATTAGTGTTTTTTTAAAAAAAAAGAATCACTGCAGGAATCGTCGTTCGAAGACCTGTCATTTGAAAACAAGAATCGTTAAAAAGCACTTCTTACCTTCTCAACAAAATACCAACTTCGAAATTTAAACCTAAACGATATTTTGTAAAATGAACTTAATCTTGCTGCTCGAACAATATGCTAACATTAACGTATGTTGGAGCATTGTTTGCAACATGAACAAACAGGAATAAACAAAACGAGGACAAATCAGAACAGCCAAGAAAGCGAGTTCTTTCTAAATCTAGCTATCATGTCACCTTTTTTAACATTATATTTATAAATAACTAACACAAATTTTCACTTTAAGCTCACCGGCATTATTTAATATCATTAGTATGTTATGAAATACAGCAAATTTGTGCTTAGAAATTACATAATTATCTCTTTTATAAAAAAAAAACCAAAATTATCTGTTTTAAAATATCGCCTCGCAGAATAAGATGTAGTAAGCATCTTCATTCTTTCTAACCGGAAATACAGCAGGTCAAGAGCTCGAGGTTATTGTTGTTTACATTTATATCGAAAACATCATCTATAGGAATGTAGTGCGATGTTTACCCCTTTCTTAATATTTTTCGATTTAATTATCAAAAATATTTTTTGAAAATTTCCGTGATATAGTTTCTTTTAGAACTATGTTCAATGTAGTTTTCACTTCTATATAGTTTCCTAACTTGAAAGGTTTTAATCTATTCGGAAATCAATGCAGAAACTAAAGTACTTCCTTTTTCTATGACTGTCCACACGATAATGGCGAAAGCGTGCGAAGTGTTGCCATAGTAGATAGTAAGTTCTGCTCTAAGGCCCGTTTCGATCGCCAATTATGTATATGGCGGTTTTTCGAAGCTCTGTCACCAAGGGGAATAAAAAAGCCATAGTTTAAGTGCCTTACACTTGAAGCAATGCGATGATTATAAACTATGTAAACAATCTTGCCGTGAAGAATTATTTGGCCTTTAAAGCAGACAAATAACTTTGTTCCGACATTTTTCTACCTAGATGAAAATTATCAAAATCACTGCCTGCCTTATTCTCAGTTTTTGAAAATTTGTATGAGCTCAAGTATTGCAGCATTGGAGGAAGTTTCTAAGTATTAAAAAATTTGACCACAAACGCTTTTCATTTTCACAAAACTTTGACTTTTCATCATTTTAACGTTCTGCGTCATTTTCGAAATAAGCGTAGACAGCCCTGGCTTGAGATAAACTGAACTTAATAGTTGCCATGAGTAATAGTTGCAAACTCACAGTAGTTATAAAAATAGCATATTAGTCGCGAAAAAAAAAATCATTTAATATTTTGACGGAGCTTTCAGAAGCTGGAAGTATTTATTTAACAAGCACCGCATTTGGAGTAGAGATCACAATCATTTCAAGTAAAAGGCACTCATAAGGAATTGCTCTAAAAGTAATGTGAACCGATAAAATAAACGTTAAAGTAACAATTGAAATATGCGGTTTTATCGATAAGTTTTTGCAAATGTCATCGATTGCTTAATAGTGACGAGTCATATATTGTGTAATATTGTAGAGTGAATTTTGTATTTTCTGATGCTTAGTTTGCAATGAAGCACAGTTCTCTGTTTCACAAACTTATCATAAACAAGAAATTCTAAATTACAGAGCATAAAATTCATTTTCTTTGGATATCGATATGAAGTGCGTATGCTTTTATAAGTAAAATAAAATTACGTCTACAGGACAGAGATAAGATTTTTACTTTTTGACGAATTTTTAATTTGAAGAAGCATCAACTAAAGAAGATGGAGGTAAAGCAAAAATATTCATTAAAATTATTAACTGAAAATTGAACATGAAAAATGTTATTAGAGATATTCAGCAATGATATACTATTTTTTTCAATAAGCGGTTGCTTTCAATATTTTAAGAGAGGCAAAAAATAAGAATGTCTTTTATGATGTACGGATGAATGAACGGTGTACAAATTTTTTGAACTAATCATAATCTCATATCAGAAACAATTCGATCATACTTTTTTATAGTGCTGTATTTTGTTACTTGAAACTGTAGACTTTAAAATAATGAAAAAATTTGTATGCCTTACAATTCAACATTTTAAGAATATCATATTATGAATATTATTAAGATAATTATAAATAGTCAGTAATAATTAAAAAGTATTATTTTTTTATATGGAGTTATACTTGGAAAAGATTTCTATCTTCTGAATTGCCGCCACCCCCGTGGGAGGTCCAGAATCTAAATCTGTCGAAAATAAGAATATTTATTCGGAGAAATTAAACTGCTGTTTGTAGAAAATGCAACACCATGAAAGAATCATCAGAATCAAATGAAATTCACAGCAAAANAAGATTTGCTTAAGATTAATTAACATGCTTAAGATTGACCGAGCATTAATAAAATCTATGTCTTATGAAATCAGCGCAAAATCAGTTCAATTGATCCTGAGTAATCAAATTTTAAATATCCGACTTTTTTAAATTTGATTTCGCAGGAGCTCCAAAGTACGATTTTGTATCTAATTTTTCTACTTAAAATATTGTTTGCATTAATTAATTGGCATATTTGAAGTCACCCCTTAAACCATTAAGTTTGATTTTTGATCGTGGAAATCTGATCAATAGGTCAAAAGTTATTCAGTGTGTTCACTTTTTAATTTTGCGCACTGTGCATAAGACGATAAGTTAAAGAAGGAACTAGCAATAAAATGGCTACAAATGTAATTTAAACTCTTATTATAGAACTAACATTTTTTCTATGTCAAGCCTCGTTGACTTACATTTCTGAACGGTAATATGGAAATATTATACAAAGTGGTTAAAAAAAATTAAAGTAGGAAATTTTCCGAAAATTTTGTAAATATTTAATTTTTAAAGTATATCTGCCTGAACAATAAGTTTTATTTACCGATGTTTGAACTATATTGGTGAGTAAAGCAACCTTTTTTTTTTAAACTTAAAAAATCATAATTTAAAAATTCAATCATAAGTGTTGCTGTTACTTAGAAATTTCTTTTATGGCATTTGAAGTCAGCACGTGTGCATTTAATATGGTTAGATTTAAATAACGATTAACATTATGATACAAATTAGCTGGTATTACTCTAAATAAATCATTGATTTGAATGAAAGGATATTTTTGTAAAGAATTATTGATTTATAAGTCTGAAAAGCATTTTAATTTGAGATTTACACTTTCTAAATTAGTATTTATATTTATTCTGTAAGCATTGATGTTGCAATAAGAAAAGTTACAGTTTTGGTCAATAATTAGTTCCAGCCTTTTGAAATTGTTGTGTAACTACCACTACCACAATATAATTCCAATTCACTTGTATATAAGACGCGTTTGATCGATTCTATTATCTTGGAATACCTTTTGATAGATGACGGTTGACAGCGTCGGCACCAGTCCCAACATCGGAGTTCTTCGGATATTATCTGAGAACACGCTTGTCTTGATAATAACGCCCACATGTATGATACACAATAAATAGTTGACTTGCCATTTGTGACAGAGACATTGTTGCTACTCAGTCTCTATCTCACACCACTGGAGCTTGTACGCATCCGACTTCTAATCGCAACACAGGAACGACTACGCACACTTAACACGTTGAACGCCACGCTAATTTTACATGGCTTGCCCATCTGGCCACGATAAATAATTACAAACTAAATTTGAAATATTAGACGGACTTTGCTATTTTTTTAGAAAGTTTATCATGACATATCTGGCAAAAGTGGTNACAAAAGTGGAGAATTATATAAGCCGACGAATTATGTAGAAAGAGTGGTGGATAAAAATCTACTAAATTGAATTTATTAAACCAAGAATCACAATAATTAAGTAAATTTTGAATAAATTTTCTGCAATTCCATAAAAGAGTGTAAATTTTATAGTTCTATATCATATTTTAAGCTTGTGGTGAAATCATCGTACTTGATTCGAGAAGTTCATTCTCTGGCGAACCTGAAAATTTTTACATACGCTCAAAGTATTTTTCGTAATCTCTTTGAACTGAACTGAAGCTCAAGAAATAAAACGTGATCATCGTGAAACTTCGTTACCATCGAAACCATCGTGATACTTCGTTCTTTACTTTACGTTTTCTCTTCTTCGCAATCTGGTTTACGTTTTTCTTCAGTTATTACTTGCTCGATTATTCTTGTATGTTTTTAATTTTGCTGCTAAGTTTTCATTAAAGTTATGTTTAAATTTAGCATTTCTCCTTTCTGTTATCTTTGGCGACAGACTTAACTAAACATGCAGACTCATAATAAACGCAACCGATTTCTCGCCAAAAGCTGTCAGCCAGCTGTTTTTCGTGGCCTATGTGAAAGGTTAGTGTCAGCAAGCTGTGGCAGACGCAGTCTAAATGTAATTTTAGTGTCAGCTACCGGTGGTTGACGCAGCCTAAATGTAATTTCAGTGTTTCGTTCGTAATTTTATAGTTCTATATCATGTTATACGCTGTCAGCCAGCTGTTTTTCGTGGCCTATGTGAAAGGTCAGTGTCAGCAAGCTGTGGCAGACGCAGTCTAAATGTAATTACAGTGTCAGCTACCGGTGGTTGACGCAGCCTAAATGTAATTTCAATGTCAGTCAGCGGTGGTTGACGCGGCCTTAATGTAATTTCGGTGTCAGCCACGCGGTTGACGCGGTCTAAATGTAATTTTAGTGTCAGCCACCGGTGGCTGACTCGGCCTAAATGGAAAGTCCAGTGTCAGCCACCAATGGCTGATGCGTTGCTCAACGTGTCAATACAGCTCTTACTACCAGTGCTAAAAATCTGGAGAACTTAACACATCTCTCCTGGTCGTGTCATCTAGTGATCTGTATTCATCAAATTCTATCCCAGATAAAATTCTGGTGAGGGAGTAATGTTGTGTAACTACCATTACAATAATACAATTCCAATTCACTGGTATATGAGACGTGTTAACTCGATTCTATATCGTGGTACATTTTGATAGATGAAGGTTGACATCGTCGGCAATGTAGCTCCCCACAAGTTTCTAAAATCTCATATTTCGGATTTTTTTTAAAAAGCAGCAAATAAATAAAAAGAAGTTATTGTGACATAATTTTCTTCATTTGTAAATAGCTGTATATATCCAAAAAACAATGATGGTATTGAAAATCCTCCTAATTCTTAATTTTAAAGCTTAATCTTCTAAATACTTATCTGATTTTCATATAGCAACTATATTTGTAAATCACAAATATTATCGCGTATTAAAAGGAAATTATTTTCATAAATTTAAACAGAACGCTGTGTATGGATAAGTTCGAGTTGTTCTCGTTAAAAAAAAATAATTGAATAAGCTAAGTTATTACGCATTAAAATATTTGCCTCACTGCAGTCAAAATAAGTGTTTTGAATGTCTGTATCTGCAGTTAAGAGTAAAGTTGTAAATAATAAGTAAATATAAGTGATAAAGAATAATAAGTAATAAATAAGGACCATTCAATTTCTAAACAATTAACTCTTTTTCATTATTTTTCCTTGGGGATTATTAAGAATGAATAAAATCGTATTTTATATCCTAAAATATAAATTAACAGAGATATATTTCATATTTAAATATTAGCTTGTACTTGATACAATTTTTTATGAAACGATTTTGAGAAAATGATCTTGTAATTAATACGAAACATAAGATTTAATCATTATTTATTCACTTTTGAATCACGAATTGTTAAAATTAAAGATAAATACGAATCATCTAACTAGTTCTTTTCATATTAAAAGTTAGAGCCAAAATGCGATTATTCCGAAAATCTTCCATCATTATTTCCTGAAACAACTAGTCGATCATTCCATTTAACAAGATGTCAGGGAAAAATAACTCATTAAGTCAAATTGTATATTTAATGTAGTAGAAAGGTTTATGCGAAAAACTGAAGGACTCTTTTTTTCTGATTAGAATTAATGCTTTTATTTCTTGGAATAGCACGAAGAAACGGCTATTTTATGAGCATTTGTAAATCATGACACTCGAAGGAAAAGTTGCCCTTGTGACTGGCGGTGGACGAGGAATTGGAAGAGCGTACTGCTTGGCATTGTTGAATGAAGGAACAAAAGTATGTAATCCAATGTTTTTTAAGTTATCAGTTTATTTTATATTACTACCTTCCCTTAAATCTATTTATACTCATTGTAAACGGAATAAGCGTTTCAAAACCGTACGAAAATTTCCCACTCTTCCTACTTTCCCCTTCTCCGTTACCATGTTTTCGGCAGAGCTTACTTTTTTGCCCCAAGCCAGTATATTCCAACTTCTTACTCAAGCATATTTTATTTTATTTTATAGCCGTTGTTGATTGATGGAACTAACCAGCAATTGAGTTACATGGAGAGAAAAACCGCGAATCTCACGGCAAAGGGACTCTAGTCCATGATCCATCTACCACTGAGAAAATTTTACGTCAGCATTATGGTCAGTGCGAGGCAGGTGCGGAATTCATATCGACCAGCCATCGCTGGGATTCGAACCCAGTTCACCTCCTTGGAAGGTGAACGCTCTATCCTCTTAGCCAACACATCTTTACTCAAGTATATTGCTAAAAAGCAATGTTTTCCGAAGCCATGGTAATGGAGAGGGGGAAATTGGGGAGAGTTTGAAAATCACGTAACTTTTGAGATGCGTATTCTGGTTACAAAGAGTATAGCTGACCGCTAATGCTAAATTCGTGTCAGTAAAAATTAGACTGTCAGTTCTCAAATTAAACGATTACAAACTTGAAGAAAACGTCTTATACTAGAGTTGTATTTTTCACATTCAACAATAACGAGTAGTTTTAAATAGAATTATGCAACACTAGGTAAAACATCAATAAAAAGAGTGATCAGTATGATGATGAAATGCTCTCCGAGGCATTTCAGTAAGGGGCATACTGAATATGATATTAGATAAAAAATTTGCTCTTTTTTATACGAATATGCAATTCCATATGCATCATTAGTTTGCAAAATACCATGAAAAACATGCTGCTCAAGTAAATGTGAACGCCTGTTAATAAAATGCAACTAAACCCTGCATCAGCTGTATTGGCCATCATGATGAAATATGATAATTAGAAATAACGGAGAATAATTATTTTCCCGTTGACATGGTGATGTTTAAATAACTTCGTCAAATTTTAATAAACACGGAATTCAGATTAAAGTATTTTTTATAAGCAAATTTTAATGAGCACGGAAATCAGATTAAAGTAGAATAGTGCATTTCGTGCAGAAAACGATTTTTTTCGAATGTGTTGGTTTCAAAAAATTCAAACAAATTATCAATGCACAATGCAAAAGTTATGCTTGAGTAGATGATCCTTTATGAGGAATATTTATAACTTCCTTACAAGTAACTAGTCAAAAAAATATTTTTTTAAAATAAAATTGGAATAAAATGCTTCCTAAGATGAGTTTTGGAACGATAAGCACAATTTGAGTCATTAAAATAATAATAAAAATTTTTTTTGAAGATCAATTTTTTTTAGGAAAACAATGCATTTTTTGACAGTGATAAATAAGTAGATTTTTTTCATATTTTACAATATCTAAAGTAGAATGAATCGTAAGCATTTATATAAATAACCATACTCTAAATGAAATTTCTATTTTCCCTTTCATTATTTAAATACTCATTGTATACGGATTTATTTTAGAACTTAGCACAAAATGGGAAGCATCTATGCTGTAGTACATGAATTTTAGTAAAAATTCCATTTCGGGGTAATTAGAACAATTAGATTGTTAAGAAAAATAAGAATACATATGTGAACCACAATATATTTTTGAAATTATATATTGAGGGAAGTAGAGTGAGTGATGTAAATTCTCAGATGCTATTAAAAAAGTGAACTCAAAGTACTATAAACATGTGTCAATATTGTAATTATTTAAACGAAAATCAGAAGATTCTGATACAAATCATTTTAAAATATAGGGTTGAAATCTGTGTGGTTAAAATAGCTGATTCATCAAGAAGATACTAAATTGTGGAAACATACAATAAATTTTAATATTAACTAAAATTAAAATAATCCCTAACCGAATGAATTTTCTTTTTAATCTGTGTGTTTTTTAAGTTTATATCATGAAAAATAACCATGCTTATTGTTTTCAGCAATAAATTTGAACCGAAAATGTCAAATTATTTATTCAGTGTTCAAAAACAATCTTAACATGCTATTCTTTGCTGGAAATATGTTTTTGGAAATTAAAAGTTTTATACATGAATCTCTACTATTAAGTGTAAGATTAATGTAGACCTCTAGTCTAAGATACGATAATTAATGTTCAATTATTTGATAAAGGTTTGCAGCCCTAAATAAAATAAAAACGTGCATAATAAAGAAATATAAACATAAAAAAACACATTGGATATCAAAAATTTTTTGTACATAAAAGGGAAAAAACGAGAAAATAAAGAAGTTTTTGTTAAAAAATGATGAAAAAATATTCCTACGTTTTCAAAATTAAGAAATTTAAACTGTAGTGCGAATTTGAACAACAAGTGCGAAATAATATTTAGCTTAAAAATGTATTATTGAAATATTATAACTTAATAAATATTTTCCTGAAAGTCTTTTAACATAATGAACCGGAGTAATGTGAGTTAAATATATTTAAGTAAATATTAGAAAATGATGATGTTCTAAATAATATTAATTGATGTTCTGATAATTATCATGAACGTGTAACGTACTCTGATTATGTTATCTATGTACAAATGTCAGAACTAGAATAAATTAATAGCCTTAAATTTAGTTTATATTTAATATAAATACGGTTAATACAGATAATATTAATATTATTTAATAGTACTTAATATCTAGAAATAAATTGATTCAATTAGTAAAAATTAATTTAAATAAATTTATATTTGATAATAATTTGTATTAGTATTAAATAAAAAAGGAATATTACATATGTTTAGTGTATTCATATGAATTCATAAATAATTAAAGAAAGCATCAAATGTTAAAAAAATCTTAGATTTATTATAAATAAAAGCATTTGATTTAATATACTTAATTAATATAAATTGAAGAATATTGTGTTTTTAATAATGTGTAATAAGTAATAATATTAAATGTTTAATAATAAAGAATTTTTTAACCTGCATAATTTTTGAATGAGTATAAAATAAAATGAATATTAATAAGGGATATATAAAATTTTATAGTAATTAATTTTTGTAATTATTTTCTTTAAAAATTAAATAAATAAAATTAAAGAAACCTTTTTTATTAAAAAAATTTTAAGTTATTTAATACTATTAGATTTGATTAATATATTGATAATTATTTTTTATGCATTAGATTTCATCATTTATCGGGTATAAATAATTCTTAACAGTGAATTTCTATTTTGTCAAGTGTGGGGATCGAACCTACGCCCAAAGTATTCTAGGAACTTTTTTTTTATTTCCAATGAGCTGCACAAGTACGCACACATGAGCTGACCTAGTGCGTTCTCCAGAAGTGGTATCCACTCTTTCAGGACCACCACAATGGGTGAGATACCGTTAATTTGGACGTCTAGTTTCTGCCACACTAGATGGCAGCACCGAGACTCTTATTTGGATGTTAAAGTGCACTAGGAATTTAATTTTGCGGGAAATTCCAAGAGGCACTCCAGGGATCTTTTACATGCCGCATAATCATACAACATGGCCGCTTAGGATTTTCTGCATCCCGAAAATCCGGTGTCTGGGTCGGGGATCGAACCCACAGACTTGGATTCAGATGGCCGACGACAAACCAACTGCACCACCCAGCCACTGTATACTAGGAACATTTGTCATATACTTATCCTGTAGAAGCTTGTAGAGAAAAATGAGTCTCACAACTTGCCTATTTAACAGGAATAAGTGTTCATTCTCCTCTGATAAGCTCAAGCCCTACTTTATTTTTACCTCTTCCTCTTTGATATTTTTTGGAAAGTTGGTTTGTTGCACTATCTCTGTTGCACTATCTCATTTTGTTGCACTATCTCTATAAAGCTGTAGAAATATTATGTTTTTGGGAGCATTCATTTTTTTAATATTTATTATTTTTTCTAGTATAATGTTAGTCATTTAATGAATTAATATTATAACTCGTTTATTGCATTTATTTCTTAGTGGATTATATTTATTTTGAAGAATGCTGATCTGTATGTTATCGGTGACTCAATTTTTATCAGTGGTTCAAAGTTTTATCCCTTAAAAGTAATGGGAATATGCATTTACTTTTTCAAAATTCGAAGAATGGTAATTTTCACAATGTTTATAAATCTTTGGAAAGATAAATGTATTAAAATGATTTTAAAATTCTGTTTACTTCTCATTATTTTTTTTCTAAATTCTAATCTAAATATATCTATTTACCTTTTTTTTAATATAATTTCTATTTTTACTACAGTTATTGATTTCTATAATTTCTATATTTACTACTTTATTGATTTAAAATAATTCGTCTACATTAAATACAATTTATCATTTTCATCTATATGTTTTATGTTATTTTATAGTTTTACAGCTATCCTTCCCCGCCTTCTTTTTTGATTTTATCTGAGATGTTTTTTTTTATTTACGTTTTGAGATGTCGTATTATGAGATGTTTATTTTTTTTGTGACCTCATTTATGACTCGTCATTTAAATGGAAGATTATGCCATCAAGATGCAGCTGTAGATGTGAAAACAGATAGTAATCCGAAGGCGTAATATCCGGTCTGCATGCTGGATGTTGCTTCAAATCCCACTCCATCGTGTGGAGCGCCCAGCTGGTCATCGCAGTAACACGTGACCTGGCGTTACCTTGAAGGAAGAGAACCACCTTCCTTCTGAACTCGTTTTTTCGCTTTTCGCGAATGGCATCGTTAACTTTGATTAGCATATTGCTGTATATTGTATTGTTGATAGCCTGCCCATTTTTCAGGTACTCCTTATACATAATTCCACAACAATCCTACCAGATACTGAGAAGCACCTTCTTGTTAGTTAGCATTCGTCTTGCAACCGAACCTGCTGATTCCCTGGATGATGACCACCCTCCTTTACGGCTTGTATTGTTGTAGTACATCCATTTTTCTTCACAGGTCACAATTCTGTCTAGGTTGTGCTCTTTTCTTTGATCTCTGAGAAGAGCCAAAAAGGCCGCTTTTCTCTTGCTCTTGTCTTCAGCAATCAATTCGTGAGGCACCCAGCGGTTAAATTTAAACGTTAGATGCATATGTTTGAGAGTATTAACCATTGTTTTTTGGCAAACGTCAAGCTCTAAACATTAGTTTGTGATGAAACCTTCCTGTCTTGATCAATGATTTACTTTAACTAGTCACAATCAACTTCAATAGGGCGGCCGGAATGTGGTTCATCTTCAATGTCAAAATTCCCAGTTTCAAACTTTCGAAACCAACTTTTACTGTATCATAAGAAACAGTATTGAAATCTAAACTTTCGCTTATTTTCGTGAAATTCAGTTGCACGGAGCTTATTTCGGAACACTTATTACATAATTGTTCTGATCTGTTGTCGTGATAGCTCCATTTTAAACACTTTTTTGTTGCACAAGATATTAAAGTTTTGGCGAACAAATTGCACAGTTGTGTAGTTCCAACTTTTAGCTTTGGAATGCAAAAAAACAGTTTGGAAAAAGGTTAACTACCAGGGGGATTGACTGCTGTTAGCGCGAAGGTATCTCCCCTTGGTGGAAAACTTTTTAATCCATCTGATATTTCTCAAATTGCTGCTCCTCAAGATATTGTGAGTGTCGGAAAACTGAATCCCTAAAAAAAAAAAAAAATATGTTTATTAAAAAAAATGACTGATTTTGTAATTTAAAATATCGTCTGTTATATATTAAGTGAAATAGAAAGTCTACTTTTTAAAATATTATAATCTAGCATGAATTAGATATTAAAAGTTATTCAAGGGCTCCTTTTTTTTTACTTTGTAATTTGTGACTTAAAAGAAAAGAATTTCTCAAATCTGTAAATTTTTATAACATCCCAAAAATTTGAAATAAATTTAGTATAATCGCTAGTTACTTAATACTTTGAAATACTTAAAGACAGATGTCCGGAAACTGCAAATGAAGTTTGTACTTTTGGTACTTTCAATATGCACTACATTAATAAATGAATAGTCACAATAAAATACTTTCAATTTTAGACATTTCAAAGTAAAGAAGTGAGTCTTTTTTAATATTGATTTGGTGTTATATAGTATGTTTTTTAAATTCTTTTTTTTTTTTTTTTTAGGTTTGTATTTGTGATTTAAATGAGGATACATCCACGGAATTAATAAAAAATCTGCCTACAAATTTACAGGCAAACATATTTTTCAAAAAAGCTGATGTTACTGATAACAATGACTTCAAAGGTAATAATTCATGATATTCTAATTTATTATTTCAAATTTAGAAATTTGACAGGCGCATATACATAGATAACTAAGGCGAATCGCTATTAAATGAAGCGTAATGAAAAATATCAAAACCCATTCAATTGCCTTGTGAAACTTACATGTGTTTCGAATTTTTGCTTTCCCTGTCTCCTCTGCTTCCAATAGCAATCAAACAGGTTTTGATGTCTTCAATCTCGCTTTCCCCATAAGTGTTTAGTTGAATTTCGTCTTTTTTTTCGGGATAAAACTTTATTTGTGATCCTCAACGTGTATATTTTTTCATATCATTTTTTAAAAGGATTATAAAAATATGCATTCAAGGTGGACCTTACAGAACACCCTGTACCCCAAACTTCGTCACTGCTCTGTCTTATTCTATTCTCTCAAACTCTCCACTGAAATATTGACATCATTGCTCTAAATGATGCATTTTCTTTCATGGACTCACTGCTTTGTAGTTTCCTATTGATTAATCACATTTTGAGTATGAAAAATAAATTCATGATATTTCTAAAGCACAAATCGGACATTTTGATAATTGGATTTAAGCCCAGTGGTCGGAAGCAGCGCGCTACAAGTAGCGAAACTACTGTAGTCGCTTTTTTCCGTAGCTTATAGTGTAGTGCGCTACTTATTAAAGGAAGTAGCGTAGTGAGTAGTTCGATACAGAAGAGAAAAAAACAGTTGATTGTTGCGATTCTTGACTATTAATTTTACCTTTAATTAAATAAACAAAGTTCAAACGCAAAAAATGTTTCGAATCTGATTGGTGCAAATCCTTCGCTGGCCCGTCAACGTATGCAATAAGAATGTCTATGCGGTCGAGCATTAATGAGACCTACGTCTGATGCACGAAAAAATTAGTGCGAAATCAGTTGAATTGATCCTGAGAAATCAAATTTTAAATATCCGACATTTTTAAAACTTATTTTCACAAGAACTATAAAGTACGTTTCTGTGTCTATTTTCGCTACTTAAAATATCGTCTGCCTTAATTAATTATCATATTTGAAGTCACCCCCTAAACCATTAAGATTAAATCCTAGAGCGTGAAAATCCGATCATTAGATCAAAAGGTATTCTGAGTGGTCCATTTTTTTTGCACTGTATTTTATTTCTGGGAGGGTAAAAAAAGCATAGACTACTCAAATCACAAACATTTGATAATTTCCTAGCATTTTCTAAATAACCGTCGAGAAAAGCATGGAGTTTGACAGTTAAAAGAACAAAATCGTAAAAAGTGCTTTAGATTAAAAAACCATTTCATTTAAGCATGAATTAAAACGTCTTAATGTCTCCTCATATTTAACAGAAGTCAATTTTTTATTCAAAATCATTTTAAATATTGATGAAAATTACGTTCTCCTGTTAAGTTTGTCCTCTAAAAGGAATGAAGTAGTGACTGCATTCGAAAGTAGTTTGTAATCGCTACATTTAAAAAAAAAGCAATTGTAGTTACCTACAAAGAAAATGTAGTTTTTTTCCGACCACTGCTTGACCATTTTTACTTATTTATTCATTTTTAGAAGAACTAAGAAGCGCAAAATCAAAAAATGTTTCTGGAAAAAAATCCGTAGTCCAACATAGGCTAATTTTAAGATATGTTCTGAAACTATTAAAAAATACATAAGACGCAAATTTTTTGTGTTTTTGAGTTTCTCAAGTATAATAAACATAGTTTAGTTACGTTTTAAACCCTAGGTATCTCCGTAACAATAAAAAATTACTATGCATAAATTCTTGTAGTTTAGGTTTAAACAGGTACCCTTAGGAATCTGGATTGCTATTTCTCATAATTCGATAACCTTTATGTATATTTGATTTTCTCATTTAAATATTAATTTATGACCCTAATGTTTTTGAGAATAATTTGACTGTTGAACTTTCTTTATATTTGATGAAACTAGCAAGATTTCTCAACGATTTTGTCTTCGCCAAGTAAAAGTGGATCACATGATCCCGAGCTGCACAAAATATATCTTTTTCGGTTCAGATATGATTAATAGCATTATGCTATCAGCTTTCTAAAGAATATGTAATATCATATGCATTTGATGTAGTTCAACCAATTCCAGAAACTTGTGCCATTAAATTCTACATTCAACTCAACTCGACTCTTGCAAGCTGAGAATCGACTCTTGCAAGCTGAGAAATTGAAGTTAACAAATAAAATGAGGGGTAAAATTATGATAGAGAATTTCTACTTATTTAATTATTGATACTTAACTGTTACAAATTAAACTACTAGCAGTCTAAGTAAGGTAAAACAACGTTTAAGAGCACAAAAAATACATAAAATGCAGACAGCTGCTTCGGATGCTCAAAGGGCAACCTTCATCAGTGCAACAGAAAGAAATAAGAGAACAGGGTAAATATATATAGACCCTTCCCTCCTATTGGCCGTTGCTCCAAACCCTCTTGTGACGTCATCTTTCTATATATATTTACCCTGTTCTCTTATTTCTTTCTGTTGCACTGATGAAGGTTACCCTTTGAGCATCCGAAACAGCTGTCAGCATTTTATATATTTTTTGTGCTCTTAAACGTTGCTTTACCTTACTTTGTATTTCAGCACAAAGGTCGCCCTTATGTGTATTTACTAGCAATCTCTTTCAAACCATTAAATTTGCCCAGAAAATAAGAAGTCATTATAAGCAGACTACGATTGAAGACTAACGTTTTACCCAAATGAGCTAGCTCCCGTATGTTTAAGGTGTAGAGAACTCTTAAGAGTGAAATAAATTCTGACCCAGGACATAAAAAAATAAACAACTCAGACAACAATACTACATTAATCTGAGATATTCCACACAATGGTGCTGGATTTTAGAATTAGAACATTCAGTAATTTAAATATAGTTTTACTTTTTAAAATTCATCTCACTAAGTTTGAAGTTCGGTATTAGTCAAATATGGCTCCCAATTAAAAAAAATTAACAATTTATTTTATCAATATCTGATAATGTGCAATTCAGTTTTTATTTATAAGATGATACATTTTTATTAGATGCTTTTGACAAAACCATAGACAGATTTGGAAGAATAGATATAGTGGTTAATAATGCTGGCGTGGCTGGGGAAAATACTTGGAGAAAAACTATTGATGTCAATTTTGTAAGTAAAATTCTCTTCTTAACTGTTGTTATTAGTCATATTGAATTTAAAGAGTCGTGGTGGCTCAGGGGATAGAGTTCTCGCCTCCCAATGAGGTGAACCGGATTCGAATCTTAGCAATGGATGGTTGATTCGAATTTCGCACACTTGCATCGACAACAGCGATGGCGTAAAATATCCCCAGTGGTAGACGGATTATGGGTTAGACCCCTTGCCGTCTGGCTACCCGTGGGTGGTTTTCGTTGTTTTCCTTTCCATACAAAGCAAATGCGAGTTAAGTTCCTTCAAAATGTAATCCACGAAGGCAAATTTCTCCCAATACTTGATACAGGAGATCCCTTGTCTTCTGGATTTTTTTCAAAATTCCGAGGAGTTGAACATTGGTAGTCGAAAGCTCAAAATTGGGTCGGTTATTTAACGAAAGTAATAAATAAATTTAAAGTCCCTGTAATATATTACTTCTGGGTTACTTCTTACAATTCATCACATATTTCAATCCTTTTCCTTATTTATAACCGACATCATTTTTCAATTTTTAGTAGTTCAGTTTTTTTTTTGTCCTGGATTTTAGATGAAACTCATTAGTCTAATTGTATTTCGACTTATTATTGGTATTTTACGCTGTATATAACTATATTTTATTCAATTAGCGATTTTGTCCATATACGTATGCATCTTAAATAATCTGGTAGTTTAGTTTCATTTATTGTCTGTCCAGAATTAGTTATACATGAAATTCTTCATCCTAAAATTTTTGCTTCTTTACTCGTTATTAAATATTTTTACTACATGTACCTATTTTACTGCAGTTATGATCCAACCCGATTCTATTTCACATATGTATACATTTTAGCATTTTAATAGATGTACAACATTTTACCTAATTCGTGTAATTTAATATCAATACGCACATTAATAATTAGACGTATTATTTGAAAATAAATCTGTAGTGTATAATTTGCTTTTGATCTGACTCGAAATCCATTTCTTTAGCATATCCCCTTTTTTTCATGCAATACGAAGAAGATAATGTTTCTAGCGATTATTTCATCGTGTTTTGCAAATTATAATCCTTCTAATATACACCGAAGAGCCATTACATTATGACCACCCTGCTAGTAACATGTAGGACCACCTTTAGCCTTCAAAACTGCTAGCACCCGTCGTGGCATTAATTCCACACGGTGCTGATAGGTAATCTGAGTTATATGGTACCAAGAGCTCACCAACTGGTCCTGCAATTCCCTCACATTGCGAGGGGGTAGCGTAGCAGCACGAATTTGATTTTCCAAGTAGGACCACAAATGCTCTATTGGATTAAGATCAGGTGAATTTTGGGGCCAAGACATGACTTGAAAGTCACTGGAATGTTCCTGGAACCAATCCATCGAACCAATCGACCCTCATGGCATGGTGCATTATCTTGTTGGTAAACACCTTCCCCCGCAAGAAAAACTGTTGCCATGAATGGGTGAACCTGGTCTGCAACTATGTTCAAGTAGCTTACAGTAGTCAGGGATTGTTCTATGAGGATTAAGGGTCCTAATGTGCCCCATGAAAACATTGTTCCTTGGAGAGAAACCATGAAAACCTGAGCGAGCCCATTGTTATATATGGAGGGTGGTCATAATGTAATGGCCCTTCGGTGTACATATGTTTTTGCACTTTATTATAATCTCATCAGTAGTACTCAATATTAGACTTGTCTCTTGCACTCAAAACTTCAGATTAATGATCTAACTCTTCTGCTTTGTTGTAATATTCTAATATCAGTCATGCTCCACCTTAACACTATTCAATGTCTTAATTTTGAACACGCCTCATAACTCACAACTCTTAGACCATTAAATCCAAATTAATAATTTTGTTTTAACTATTTACAAATTTGTTTCACAATTCTATGCTTTTATTTACAGATTGGAGTATTGCATGGTATTAAACTTTGTTTGCAGTATTTGAGCCTCGAAAATGGAGGTTTAGGTGGCTTTATAATAAATACTACATCTGTAGCTGGTTTCATTAAACCCTTCATGCAATACGAAGAAGATAATGTTTCTAGAGATAATTTCAGCGTGTTTTGCAATTATAATCTTTCCAATAAACATATGTTTTTGCACTTTAATATAATCTCATCAGTAGTACTCAGTATTAGACTTGTCTTTTGCACTCAAAACTCCAGATTAATGGTCTAACTCTTCTGCTTTGTTGTAATATTCTAATATCAGCCATGCTCCCCCTTAACACTATTCAATGTCGTAATTTTGAACACGCCTCATAACTCTCAACTCTTAGACCATTAAATCCAAATTAATAATTTTGTTTTAACTATTTACAAATTTGTTTCACAATTCTATGCTTTTATTTACAGATTGGAGTATTGCATGGTATTAAACTTGGTTTACAGTATTTGAGCCTCGAAAATGGAGGTTTAGGTGGCTTTATAATAAATACTGCATCTGTAGCTGGTTTGTACATCATTTCGTAGTTGTGGTCTAAATGTTTATGTGAATTTAACTATCTTCAAATTGTACACAAATTCCATTGCATTTCAGGTCTTTCTGGATGCCCAGTTGGTCCTGTTTACAGTGCAACTAAGTATGCCGTAGTTGGACTTACGAAGAGTTATGGTGTACGTATCCTGTGCATTTTTATCTTTTCACAAAAATTTTACTTTGAAAATGCGGCTATCCTTTGTATTCGTTTAAGAAAATCAGACGAATAGTCATTTCTGTCGAAAGTTTACTTCGTAAACTTATAGCCCATTAAAAAAATCACAAGATATTTTTATACGTACGCTACGAGGTATAATAAAAAACCTATAACTAGTTTTATTACGAACCTAAAAGTTAAGTTGCAATACACTACTCTTATAGTTGGTCTATAGAACGAACTCCCCTCGTCACAAATTCTAAGTCCATTTTATGTTATGGAAACACAAGAAATAACGCATTTTAAAGTAGGGAGCTTCTTTTCCTCTGATTCCTTTTCTCTCGTTGATCCGAGTCAAAATCGGTCTTAAATAACGATCCAACATCCGTACTTGAATTAGTTTAACCTCGTAATCATAGTTACCGCCACCACTCCAGACGAATGGCTAGGGGAGTTCTTTGCATATACAAACTATACGTGGAGCACAGATGCCAACATTGATGCCAAAATTTTAAGTATTTCTAAAAAACGTTTTTCGGAAGGATCTTCAGCTGCTTCATTGTTGTCCTCGCAATATTGATGATGGTATCGAAACTTTTTCATTTTTTCCTCATCATGGGCTTTATTTTTGGGAATTATTCTAAACTAGGAGAATATTGGGGGTAATTATTCGAAGCAAGGTGCATTGTTGCCATGAAAGAGCAAGCATTATCATTTTTCTGAATTATCATTGCCGTCCAGGTGGCCGAGCGGTTAGCGTTCCTGACTGCGAAACCAATAGTTGCGGTTTCGAATCCCGATCAGGACATAGATGTTTATCTCCGTGTGTTAGCCTCTGTTTTGTGTCATGTGTGAATGTGGCCCACCCTATGTACGGGTATCTGTGGCAGTGTGGCGTGAGTAATGTTGCTTGTCTCCGTGACTTTGGTCATAAGATGCTCACCAGGCAACGCGAAATGAGGCACTTCCGGTATTTTTCACTTCCGGTATTTTTCTTGGCGAAGAACGATAAATTCAGTGTCTGCCATTAAAATAAAAATTATTTGTCCAATTGACAAATCACATTTTATTCAAAATTAGCACAAAGCTACTTACGTTTTACGCTATAAGCACGTTCAAAACTTATCATAGTTTATATAGTTAGCTAATTTTATTTCTAGTCCAAGATTCCTGTTTGGCTGTAACGCATTTCACACTTAATAAAAGGAAATGCTAAGAGTTAAAAAAAAAGAATTAAATCATATAATAAAAACCTATGTCTTTAAGATAAATACTACATTCTACTGCCGAGTATATGTTATTAAGAACTGATGAGTTATAAATTCAAAGCATCGTTGACATAGTAAATATTTTATGCACTGTGTCAAAACGTGTCTTACCTCCAATGGTTCTTTGCACCTTGAACATTTAGAGCATTTAATAACAAGTATTTGCGTTTAATTTTTGATGTATTATGTTTAATTTATGATGTATTATGTAATTATGACTTCTAATTTTCCAGGCAGATTTAATAATTTGAAAGGGAACATTGTTGATTTTATTTGAAACAGTTTGTTATTATATTCTTTGATCCGTATAACCACCAATGCTCCAGTCATATCTGTATAAATCATGAGTTGATTTGTAGTAGTATTTTATGTAGATTTCTCCATTTGTCTGCTTCTTCATTTAATGGAATTTCAAAATTACCACAAGATGAAAGTATATCAGAGTTATTATTCGTCAGTTTACTGTAAAAGTTTAAAATATGAGGTAAAATAGTATAAGTTTTTTTTTAACACTAAATCTCGATACATCAACGCAACTTTTCGAATCCGTATAACTTGTTGTACTGTATTTATTACTATTATTACAGGTTCTTATTTTGAGTTTAAGACATTTAAACAATATAAGGCTTTTGTGCTAATTAAGCTTAATAATATAAGGTTTCCTTTTACGCTAAATCTTGATGCATCAATACAACTCTTTGAGTTTGCGGCGACTGAACTTAACTTAATCGTAACCGCAACAGTTACGATCAGTAACTGTCTCTGTCATTCCGCGCGAAGACGCATTGTAGACGCACTGCTCTAACTTTCATGTTTTCCCTTGTGTTCGTTATAATTAAATATTAAAATAAATACTAATTAAAATGTAAACTACGTCTATTCATCTCCTGGACACAACCAACCACCACAAGTTCGTATAGCTTATAGTACTATATTTTTTACTATTATTATGGTTTTTTTATCTTGAGTTTACCAACTATATTAGGCTATAGTATTATCAACTATATATCTAATTTATCAACTATATTAGGCTATTTCAACTAAATGAGGCTTTTGTGAATATGTCACTTTTTGTCACTCAGGGCCAAATTATGGCCCTTACCTCAAAAACTCAGGGTCAAACTATGGCCCTTGCCTCAAAAACTAGCATAACTTATCTACCAATTAAATTATTTTTTAATGAAAACATGTATTCCATGTCCTCGGGAAAATTTTTTGCCTTTGCTTTCGCTTTAAACTTAGTGTCTACTAACCGTGCTGTTCACCCTGTATTTCTTCTCTCGGAAACATGCAATATTTTGTTGCAATATAGCTAATTTCGTCTCTTGTGTCATTGAACTCAATTTATTTCAATTCTCCAATTTCAGTCGGATTATCATTTCAACAAAACTGGAGTTAAAGTGAACGCCATTTGCCCCGGTGCTGTTGATACAGCTTTGCTTCGGAATTTTGCTTCGAGCTGTGTTGATGAAGAAGAAGGAATAGCAGTTGTGAAGAGGCAGTCTTATACAGAGTAAATACTTTCTTAAAGCATAATTTTTTTTTGTGATAAACGAATTTGTTTCATTAAAAAAATTCAACAACGAAATAATATAGACTGGCGAATGTTAAATTTGTTATACTAGCGACAATCATTGGTCGATTTTCTAGCGTTGTCATTCGGGGAGTTGTAATGAGGCTTTTTTTGTCGCCGTGTAAGAGAATTATATAAGTAGATTTTTAGCAAATTTCGATGGTCATGTGATCTACCTCTACGATTTCACCGCCTCGTGGTTTCCTATTTATAGAGCTTAAATGTGATAGATATGGGGAGGTTTAGATGGTTAAGTTTGTGGGGAGCTTCAGATCTCAATTCCGAACTAGATTTCCAGTTGATCTGCACCGGTTGCTGTGGTCTAACATGCCAAAAATCTCCTTTCAAATGAACTTGCTGCTTCAAATTTCAATTGTATCTGCGTCTAATCACCTTTCCAGTATACTTCAGTAGTTATTAGTCTGCATATTTCGTACTTGTTTGCCAGAAATCCTGGACAGCAGACTATTCGACAACATTATGGCTGGTATGTGGCTGGGTATGCAGCTTACTTTGTCTTCTTGGCTAAATCCAAATTAAACAGTTGTGAGTTGCTTAATATTAGGAGTAAGAGCCATAACTCCTTTTTTGTGTGAAAGATTTGACTTTACGAAAGATCCCCCCCCCCAAAAAAAAAATATGATGAAATAAAAATATATAAATTTTTGAATAAATAAAAATATCTGCATCTAAACTCCAAATTGAACTGAAATGTTGGGTATTAACTGATTTAGTTGAAAATTAGAATAATCTGCATTTAAATCTGCAGCAATGGTCCAATGATTTCCCAATTGATAAATTTTAAAATTTAATTTCTCTAGAGAATATAAAAAGAAATTGGACTTTGAGTTATACAACTTTAGTTATACATCTTCAGGTAAAATTTCGTGTCTGCAAATTTTATAGTTTGCCAACAATGAGACGAATAAATACCTCCTTGAAAATAGAAATCCTCAGCACTGGTAAACAAGAAATTTGATCATTTAGTAGTCCAAACGTAATGAAATCTTTCGTATTTAGCACCCCTTCTGCGCAACTAACTAGCCCGAACGTAGTGAAATCTTTTTAATTTAACCTCCACTGCGCAGTTTATGTTCGATACGTTGGACTATTTAACAGTTCCGTACTGAGCTCATCTCTCTTCTGTTGGACGAAAACTCACACAAACTTTAACTTATCATGTGCAGAGATATACAGATAGTGGAGACCACAAGGTTTGACCGAAAATTATGCCACTGAATCGATTAAAAACCTTTATTGATGGGATTAGCACAGTACATGCATTAAAAGGTTTCAAAATAGACTTCTGTGTTTATGGATAACGATATCAAATATCGATAGTCTGATCATTTGCTACTATAATATCCTGGTCGTATCGTACAGAGGTGTTATGTGAGTTAACATTTAATTTTAATTTGGACATTTTAATTTTGATAAGCAGTTAATTTGTATACGTTTCTATCTATCAAGTTTGTTTTACACGTAATAAAGAAGTATGTAATAAGTTTCGCGTAAAGTAGCTCGAAATTTTTTACAGTGTAGGTAGATGGGTTATTTTTTATTTTTAACTGTTTCAATTTAACTGCTACTGTGTTAATGGAACGTCGGTTTTAAGGAATATAAAATCAATTAAGAAATTATATTTTTATATGATACAAAATATTGCCACACTAAAAAAGTATTTAAAGATAAAATTTGAATTGAGTTAACTAAATTAAAAGGAAAATGTTTCTATCAGAGTTATTTATAATTACATTTTTTATAGGTTAGAAAATATTGGACAAGCTTTGATAAAAGTGTTGAAGGATAACAAAAATGGAAGTCTCCTACGAATAGAAAGTGCTGGCATGGGATACGTCTGAAAATTACTTACGTTTTGAATTTTTATATTATGTTAGTAAACTGATTTTTTTTACTAAAGATGTGTATTGAAACAATATAATGGATGGTTTCCCAACTATGCTGTTTACCTTTCTTAGCTTTCTTCCAAAAGGTTATGTACATTAATTTTTAACTTTTTTTTAAATTCGTACTTCTTCTTTTTTTCAACAATAAGATCAGTTAAAAAGTTTGAATTTTTTTCCCTTCCTAATTTTGACATCATTTTTATTTGTTTTTCAAAGCATTATAAAGAATAAATAACAGCTACAATTGTAGACGAGGTAATAAATTCAAGTAAATTTACTGTACTGTATGGTAATGACATTTTTGATTAAAAAAATTATACCTGCGCTTAAAAAAACCAAAATATACGGTATTTAAATCATTCATTTGAAGTTTTTCCTTTCATATGGTAACGGTTTACCGGAAATACTGGTTTTCAAAATTATAGTTCTTACAACCACATATTTAGTAAAAGATACAAAACTGAAAAATAAATTTAACCTAAGAAGTGGTTTTCATGCCATGCTCTGAGGTATCATGATAAAATTATCAAATTTTATCTCATTCGCCAAATTTTATCTTATGTTATAAAGCTATATTTTATTGCTAATTTTGCCAAAATCATTTCCAAAGTACTTCGGTAAAAAATATCGAGCCTTTTTGGTGTTACCATAGAGCCAGAAATACGGTAAATTTTACCATAATCTGGTAGTTTAGACGATACTTTTTTTCTCAGAGTAGGATTTAAAAACAAATTGATGAACTTTCTTTAATGACATGCTATTAGGCATCATGCTATGCTAGCATAATATGAGTTTTGGAAACTTTTTGCGATTTATTTCTCTTATTTATTATTTAAACTTTTATATTTAAATTTTAAATTTTTCTAGAAACAATTTTAAAATTCCATGTATGTAGCATTATCGCACATGTAACAAACCTTGGTGTGAGAAGGAGAAAAAACTGTCACATGCTAGTTTTATTTCTAGTTTCACACTTGGTTAACTTATCAAATGCATTTTATGACAATTAATTCTTGGTGCTCATCTGTAAGTTCTCACCTTAGGTGCTCATCTGTAAGTTCTTAAAACCTAATAAATCACCAATCTTGTAATCGGAATTATGAATTCAAACTAAAATATTATAAGGCAGTAATATTTAAGCAAATTTCCGAAGCTTGGTAACTTGTTTATGGTAAACAGAGATAAGAATAATTTTACCAGTGGCATATGTAATGGGGGAGATAAATTTCTCTACGATTTAAAGAATATCGGATACTGAATATTTACTTATCGGATACTTTAATAAAATAAAATTTATAAAAAAGCCTTTTTTTACACATTTATAGGTACTTTGCAAAAAAGTTATATATTCCATTATCATCATAAAATTCTCAAATCTGTGAGTTACTTTAAATTAAATAGGGAGAAAGTTTGAAAGTTGATTGATATCCCAACTATCCTATTTTATCACATTTTAGACATTTTACCACGTTTTAATAAGTACCACTTCTATTTTATGTGGTGATAAGTTGCTTGGCAGCTTTATTTTAGGTAAGCAGGATTTGTTAGATGAAATAATCTAATATCTTTTTTCTATTTCTACTTCTATGCAAACTTGGTATTTGTTGCTTGGTATTGGTTGTATACAACAGCTTTATTGTGTTTACAAATTCATCTAACTTTTGAGTGTATCTATTTCTCTATGTCAATTTTAAACAAATAAATTAGTTGTAAGTATGTTGTAAATTGGTCTTTTCTTGAACCCTTTATCATCAGACCGAAACGATTCTCAGATATTGTCTTTTCCTACTTCCGCCAAGCCTTGGAGAACATTCTCTGATGTATTGTAACTATGTCATAGTTCTATAAGTTTACTTCCTTTTATGAACCATATATATACTGTTTTCTTCAATGTAACTTAAGCTTAGTTTAGTTCACAATACTCCACGGTCCATTGCCTCATACCGTCTTTCTCAATAGAGCAACTTATAGAAGTTTAACTAAATTGCAAGCAAAAGATCTTTCTGAAAGCACATTATACATTTCATTATGTCCATAAAAGGAAAAGTAGCTCTTGTGACAGGTGGAGCACGAGGAATTGGAAGGGCTTGTACTACTGCATTGCTCCATAATGGAGTAAAAGTAAATATTATTGTATACATTTAATCAGAATTTCCTTATATTTACTGAAAAATATTGTTATTAGACCTATTTGTTTATTTCAATCACAAGGGTATTCTATTTATTCAAATCACAGAATCATAAGGTTTTTCTGTCACCTCTCGCTTTTCGCACCTACCCCCGCTATTGCTTCAATGTGATTTTTATGCCTTAACGATAAGTAAATTGCTACATCAAAATTAAAAAAAAAAAAAAAAAAACTATTCATTTAAAACTACCACAAATTTTTTGTTAAACAAAAACTGAGTTCCGCAGATTTAGTTTCCGAATGTGTTGGTTTAAAACTTAAAATCAAATTTATTTTTGTTACAATTGCTATTCCATGAGCTAAATTCTTTAAAATAAGAGTTTAATTTTTAGTAAATAAAAAAAAACTGCTTCCACTGAAAATAATTATTCTGAAAGGAGACGAAAAGTCAGATCCTGATATTGCATTGCAATTTCACATAATTTTTATTAGTTTAATGAAATTTATCAGTTTAATTTACGTGTTGAATTGAAACAGTTTCTCATAAAAAATACTGAAAATGTAAATATAACTGTTACAACTCATTGTAACATGTTTTAAAGACCTCAATTTTGTCACATAAGCACTGAACTTTTAACTATACATGTGGATTAAGGCTGCATGAAAACAGAAGAGTGCCCACCCATTCGGAGGATAGACACATAACTATTTTTCCGATTGCCCGTGTCAGCGAGGGGTCAAGGATCCACAGTAGATAAACTGCATTAGCAGAACTCTCCTTTTGATTCCTAGTGTGGCAACGCAAAATCAAAAAACAGGTTTGAAGAAGGTGGTTTTTTTGGCAGTCGGATAGCATGGATGTTTTGTACTCTAGTCTCCATGTCGTATAGAGAGTTCCTCGTATCAAGGGGGCTTTTGCCCCCCAGGTTGATGATTCCGGCCTTACTGTATGTGGATGAAGATGATGTGATATTTTAGAATTTGTGACAAACCAGGATCGCTTTCGATCCATTTGCTATTTCCCCCCCTTCTTCTTTTACAGTAGTTTGTTTCTTCAGTCTTCAAAATGTTTATTAATTTTGACCGATTTGAAATTATTTTTTGAAGGATTTATTCCCATTGATACTTGAGCAGCTCAATAAATGTTGCGAGTATATTTTTTAGTGTTTCAGTCTCCTTTTATATTGTCTTATTTAATCTAATTTTTCAACCATGTAACTTTATTTAAAAATAATTGTAATTCTAGAGAATTCGATAATAGCATTGTATTAACCTTATACGACTTAAATTTTAGTAATCTTTCATGGTAATGGTAATATAATTTTATTAATAATGTTCTAAGTTTTTCAGTAAACAGTTTCATCTAATTTTATAGTAATTAATTTTTTTGCCACCACGTGCAGTAGTGTTTTTGTAGTTACTGATCTAATATTAGGGTACCATGTGGTACAGCAAAAGTTATTATGTTTACTTTATTGAATTTAGCCACGAGAGTTATTAATAACATTACCTTATAAATCTCTCAAAAGATTCTAATAAACAACTAGGGGGAGAAAACTACTTTTATTTGCAAATGTAATGGTAAAAAAATATAATAACTGTACTTTTAGTCCTTATGATATTTAAGAGAAACAATATATATATATATATAGATCCTGATATTGNTTTCTCTTTTGAAATTACATTATGACGCATTCACATACATTATTAATACAAACACATTTTCCATGGCAAGACGATGAGGCAACCACAAGCACTTCCACTGGTTCTAGAGGTTCAAGAGGAAAAAATGCACAATATTACCGTTATTACAGAGCACGGAAGCGAGCGGAGCAGGAAAAAGAGACGTTGAATAGAACTAGTGATCCTTCTACGACTGCTGATTCTTCTACAATTAACGTCGCAGGTTACGAAGTTTAACTTCTTCCGCGCGGAGGGACTCCACGCACTATTTTCTCTAGTATTTTCTGGAAGAAAAAAAAGGTACATCAAAGTAGAACATTTTAAAGCAGGCTCAAATAAAACATTTAATTTTGTTAGAATTAAATTTCAATACAGTTTAATATTGGTGTTAAAATTAACATGTAGTTGAAAAAAGGTTAAGTTGAATGGATGTTTAAAATTTCAATTTTAATAATAAAATAAATCTGTTAAAGAGGAAGAAAAAATTAAATCTGCCTTTATAGACTTAAATCACTTATAGAGGGGATGAAGAAATTTACTTTTATGAGAGTAAATATCGAAAATATTATAGAAATATACTTTATGCAAACTACCTGATGTTTAATATGATTTATTAAAAAATTATATAGTAAATTTAATAATATAAATAATAGAAACTTGAATACTTGCATCAATTTAAATATTTACAACATGGAGAACAGTTGACTAATGAAAATGGAAAAAATATTAAAGAAAAGAAAATTAAACAAATATGTATGTTTTGATCTTTAATAAAAATGTCATTAGTTGAAAGGAAAGGGTCTAATGAAGAGCATTATTAAGAGGAGGATGTTCACATTGCACAGAAATTGATAATGACCGTATTTAAACTGCTTGACAATTGCTGAGGTACAACTGATTTATGCAAAGTAGCTTTCTTGACAACCAACCAATAACTTTAAAACAATTGTAGAGGGCGTGGTAGAGCAGTACCTATTATCTGTATAAAAGGCTGTGCACACAATCTCATCATTTATTCGATAATTCACAATGTTAGGTATTTGATTGAAATAGCATCATAGCTTGTAGCATTTAGTTATGCGAAATTCAGTGCGGTGTGGAAATATTTAAGTGCAAAATATTAGCAAGATATCATTTGATTTTTTACGACCCTGAAAAAGCAGTTAGGCGACTTGAAGCAGGTCAAAATGTTACCCCTGAGGCAGCAGTATCGGAAGTGTCAAAAAATGTTATCTCTCAATTAAAAATAAAAAAAGCTAAAGGCGGAGATTCTATGCATACCGGTGGTAATTGTAGGAACATCAGATCTCAAGAGTATCCCCAGTAGCGAAAAGGAACAGAAATGTCACTCTTAGGAAGACCTTGCAACCACTACCGGTACACATGTTTCTCCCAGAACATCTCACGGCGATAAAATCAATTAGGTTGGCATGCATGGAAACTTGTTCAGTGCATTCCGCTCAAACACGTCATCGTCGAGAAAGATTTCGTCGGTGTAAGGAACGTATTCGTTGGGGTAACTAGCAAAGGTCCAGATTCATGTTCTCCGATGAATCTCAATTCACAATGAAAAGTGATTCTGGCTACCAGTAATAGTGTGAGGAGAGAGGGAAACTTGGGCAGGCTTGCCAAGGCTCTGTTTTCGTGTTAAAGCTTTAAATCCTTTTCCTGATATTTATATTTAGGCTAATGGTGTTCCTCGAAGCAGAATTTTAAGTGTAATTTTGTTTATAATTCAGATTTCACCAGTTTTGCACCTATTTTCACCTGTTGTTTTCGGCTCTCTTCATATCGAAGATCATTTCTCATCTTCTGGATTCACGTGTTTTATGAATATAAACTTGCAGTATGTACATTGATCTTAGATCTGTTTTGCTCCGACAAGCAGTTTTTCAAAATGTCGGACAAGTTGAAGGTCAAGGTCAAAGAAGAATGTTTATAAAAATGCTGTAATAAAATAATAATAAGGTATAATGGTGATTTTTATTATTATTGCGATTATTTTATTAATAAAGTGCATTACTGATGATATGAGAAGTCAGCGAAACAATCATGTTATCAAAGTGGCGTTGATAAGATGATAAGCTTAACGCATTTCTTTAATGACTAATTCAGTCCTGTGCTTTAATTTCTACAGCATGCCTGTTACGCCCTGATTTCTGTGTGTATATGCATTAAAAAAGGGTACGGGCTTAAAATGAAAAAACAGATATTACTTTTTAAACTAAACATGCAGATCATGTATGTTTAAAATATTGCAAAATATTAATAATAAATAAATAAAGTAATTTAATTGTATTCCATAAATAAAGAAATTTTTTTTAGTATATCTTAAAATTGTTATTTCAGCACTTTTTAAATTTTTAATCTTGTCTCCAATTTTATTCGTTATGAAGTCAATTAAATCTGTTCTGACGCACAAACAATCAGATGTAAGCTTAAATATCAATCGGCATTAATAAAATCTTTTCACTTGTCATTCAACCGATGACCTTGATGCTCTTATCTTTTGTTGTTTGAAGACATTATTGAGATAATTCTTGACAAAGAGCATTGTATTTCTTCTTTTAAAAAAGTAAAACAATACCTCTACATAACATTATAGCTAATTTTTTTCACAAGTTATTTTAAGAATTCTATCTTAAATACACTGGTGGGAGAAATTAAGAGAGTTTGCAGACTTAGTCTATTATTTCTAGAACTACTGAACCGATTTTAATGATATTTGATCCGTACATACATTGATACAATACAAAACAAATAACAGTTCAACATTTGTAATACACACGCATGATCGTGCATAACACTCGTTGGAGTCGGAAGGTATGAAATTGCCTCAGCGCAATTCAGAACAATTGCCACAGGAAATGATAAACTGCCTTATTTCAAGCAATGAAATCACGCTGAAAGGCCAATCTATCTGTAAGAAGAGATCATTAACCCATTTTCTGTTTGTTTATTCAACAGCTTATTTTTTGTTTTTGAAACCGCAGTTTCATATCTTCCAACTCCAACGAGTGTTATGCATGATCATACCTGTTTATTACAATTGTTGAATGGTTTTTTGCTTTGAATGGTTAGATATGTACACACAATTTTCATTAAAATCGGCCCAGTAGACTGCAAACTCTCTTACTTTCTTACACCAGTGCAGATCGTAGAGAGAAGGCATGCGAGTTTTTCTGAACAATTTTCAAATCAACGTCCTCCATAATGTTTGGTGCTCAAATTAAGGAATCTCGGTTCTGCTTATAAAGTCCTTTTCGGATCACACCATTCGTTGATTTCACTTTAGTTTTGCTCTATACCCAGGCTTTTATAATTCATTATCTTTGCTAATTTATTTTATAATTAGAAAGATATCAAACTTGTCCTTATCAGACAATCGAAAGGGCAGGAAACTTCATCTACCTCTTCGTCTATATTATCGAGGAAACCGTAAACCACCTAACCGACCTTCAAATATGCCACACTAGTATGCGATTGTAAACCGGGAATTCCAAAACCCATTTTCCACCTTACCCATAATGAAAACTTACAGGTGACAAAAGAGAGAGAGAGAGAGTGTGTGTTAACATATCACATCACCCAACTATGGCCAAGCACCTAGCTCCATTTTTAGGGCTCCATCTTTTAACTGCCATCGCTGGAATGAAACGTAGTTTTGAACCTCATCAGACGCACAGTGCCTGAGCAAGTACCTCTCTTGTTATTCGGACGTTATTAACGTTAACGTTATTAAACTTAATTCGGAAGACAAGGGAACTCCTGAATCAAATATTGGGCGAAATTTGCCTTCACGGAGGATATTTTGATGGAACTAACCCGTCTTTGTGTTACATGGAGAGGAAAATCACGTAAACCACGGTTAGCCTGATGGCGAGGGGGCTCTAACCAATGATTCGTCAACTACTGAGGATATTTTACATCAGCACTGTGGTCGGTGCGAGCGGAATTCTTAACGACCAGACATCGCTTTGATCCGAAGCCGGTTTACCACATTATAATGAGAACGCTCGATCCCCCCAGCCACCACGGCTCAAATACGAGTTATCAACATTTTCTTCTATTTCCTCCAATTTAAATTTAGTTTCACTTTTCTATAAATTATTTTACATCTTAAATGTTTTATTCTTCAATGCACATCAAACAATTTGAATCCGCGTACATGACGCCGCTGATTACAAACATTTTGCTTTGTCGTACTAAGTTATTCTGATGCTATCTCTCGGACTGAAAACTTTAAATTTTCATTCTTTAAAGAAAAAAAAAGATACTTTGAAAAGATAAGATAAAGACTGTAGGAAATGAGGAGTTTCTTTGTCTAATCTTCAATGTGCTTATTTATATTCTTGTTGAGATTTTCTCTCAGGAACCAAGAGCGAGTAGATTACGAGAGCACTAGTAATTACATGCAATATATAAGTACAAAAAAAAAATGCCATTCAAAGGCAAAGTAGCGATTGTGACTGGTGGTGCTCGTGGAATAGGGAGAGCATATTCTACAGCACTTTTAAATGAAGGAGGCAAAGTAATATTACATAATTTCTAATATTATTATTATTATTTAATTATAATATAGTTTTCTATTTACGTAGATGTCTTTATTTGCACTTTATTTCATCCTTTTTAATAACCTTTATGCGTAACGTTTTAAGTTTCCATAATATTTCGTTGCAAGCATTCATCAAGAAATTAAAAAAAGAAACTATCAATTAAATTTGTTCCTAGTAAACATTTTGTGGAATAAAGATTATTAACAATGCATGCCGTGTAATTATTGCGTCTATGCGACATCTTTCGCAATATAACTTTTACCCATTGACAAAACGGGTGTTGTTTTGGGTTTGATTAGCGTGCGCAAATTATTTGGACGTCATCACACTTTTCAACTGTGTTCAAGAGTAATAGTAAGCAGTGCCCATGTGTCGTCATTGCAGGCGTTGTTAAGGCGACTGCTGCCGTTTGATATTTTTTTTAGAATTCCTTTTTTCTTTTTATTTTCACCAGCAGTCATTCTTAAGGTATTAATGTAATAATAATTTAAATTATTTTTATATTTTTTTATTATGAACTTATAATTACTGTCTTGACGATGATTTTAATATAAATATGAATACTGAAGAAGGAAAAGTATTCTGTGAATAGTAAACAGTGCGCATGCGTCGTCATTGCAGGCGTTGCTAAGGCGACTGCTGCCGTTTGATATTTTTTTAGAATTCTTTTTTTTTTTGTATCCAATTCTTGCCGATCCAATTCAGCAACTTTTCTAATGTGCGCAAACAAGCTGAATGTTTTTATCAAAACATTGTTCCAATTTTTTTATTAATTTAATACGGACAGTAACTTTGTTAATGTGTGCAAGCTGAATGTTTCGATTAAAACACTGTTCTACATTGTTTATTCGTTTTACACAGACAGTAACTTTGTTAATGTGTGCAAGTTGAATGTTTCGATTAGAACATTCTTACACATTATTTATTATTTTTACACAGACAGTAACATTGTTAATGTCATTCTGAATAAGTCTACATGTCTACAATGCATAGAGTCTACATGTCTACAATGCATAGAGTCTATATGTCTACAATGTCTACATGATCAGTCTACAATGCTATTAACACATTGTTCCCAATCATTTATTAGTTTTATGCGGACAGTAAATTTGTTAATGAGTGCAAACAAAATGTCTTTATTGGAACATTGTTTCTTATCATTTATAGGCGGATTTTCAGACACAATCGCTTTCTAATTGTAAGCAAGCAATGGTTTTAATTTAAAAATTTTGTTATTTTAATTGAACCGTAGCAGTTTTACGTGGACAAAGATTTAGATAATGTTTGGAAATAAAGAGTTTTAATGATATTGTTTTCTTCAAGTTAAGAGCATCCACTAAAATGTTTAAGAGGTCTCATGCTATGCAAATTATTCTGTATATAGGTTTGCGTCTGTGACATTAATGAAGACATTGCAGAAGAATTTCTTAGTGGTTTGCCTGAAGACGTAAAAGGAAATGCTATTTTTCAAAAGTGCGATGTGACTGTATACAATGATTTGAAAGGTAACTACTTACATAAATATATACTTTTCCACTTTTAAGGAATGATAAGCATTTCAATGTTTAAATCTTGCTGTATTTATCTTTTTTTTTAAAAAACAGATGCTTTTGACATAGCTGTTAGAAATTTTGGACGACTTGATCTGGTAGTCAACAATGCCGCAATACTTGATGAAAGCAAAATGGTGAAAACTATTGAAGTCAATTTTGTAAGTAGTCATGAAATGTCATCATTGTTTCATGATTTAAGTTTTATTTTATGAAGAAATTAACTTAATAGTTGCATAACGCTTTTAAATAGCATATCATTTAGTTGTCATTCCTCCTTAAGTAATACGAAATATTTCGCACGAAGGAGCTATTTCTCATTTTTATTTTTTCTTTGCCCATATAGAACAGTGAAAATTCTAGCCCTGCAGAATATTTTAAGTGGTTGTGAATAAAAAATGGGAATTGTGTAAATTAACAAACGTTCGTTACATTTCTGCGAATTAATAAACATCACAGCATGCTTATCAGGTCATTTATATACATCGTTTTAAGTCTAATTTTAAAGCAAAGAGAGAGATTATTTTAAAAATATTTAAGTGCATAACGTTATACTCTGTTGCAAGTAAAGAAAGAACCTTTATCTTTATGGAGAAGGAGCCTGTTTGCATCTAAGTGCACGCCAAATGGATGCCAAACTCCCATATATCAACATCGCCAACTCTTGCAGCGGACGTAGCATAGTCTTTTTTTGCCTGCTTTTTCAAATCATGTGAAATGAGGAAGTAAAAATTTATTGTATAAAACTATTGTTTTATTAATAAGAATTAATAAAAATGATATCAAAAAATATGCGTGGTTCTGTTTGCATTTAAAGAAACTAATGAAAGAATAATAAATATTGCTTCTTGCAGACTATTTTCTTCGACAGCGAAGCTAAATTAAGAAATTCTTTAATCTCACAATTGATTTATTAAGGGAATGTCAGGTTAAGACGCGCCATTCTTAGTGGTCCAATCAAATCCAATAATCTTGCAACATCATATAATTTTTTTTAAAATTTTTTTTCATTTATTTTTCTTTCCTCAAAAGCAAATGTTCTCCTTATTTATCGAAATCTGTCACCAAGTCCAGGATTCCAGTAAGACTGAGAAACTACAACTCCTTTTTTTTAATAATTCTATGATTCATATCATAAATGATATCACGAACTAAATGCAGTCGAGAAAGATTACTTAAATCTTATACCGCAATGGTGTTTTCTTAAATTACAACGGAGAATAAAAATGTAATTGTTTTTATAAAGTTATGTTATATACTATACAGTAGGCATAAGGAGCTACAAGCAAAATAAAATATTATCTTACTAATTTAATAAGCAACTAAGTGTATTATTTTTTGGGCATTTTTTTATAGCCGTCGTTGAACAGCAAATCCAATTTTGGGCTCAAGACTACTAAATCTTCACGTCCGTAGCCTTGTAATTTTGAACCCATTCCAGAATACAAGGAAGCTCCTGGATCAAGTATTGGACAAATTAGCCTTCATAGAAGACTCTTTGATGGAACTAATCCGCATTTGCTTTACACGGAGAAGAAGACCACGAGAAACTCCCACAGTTAGCCTGACGACAAAAGGATTCTACTCCATGATCCGTCTACCTCTGAGGATATATAACTTTTTTTGGACATTTATTTTATTTTATAACTGTCATTGAACAGCCGATCGAATTTCATGGGTTTAAGGCTAGTAATGTTCAACTTGGTAGCCTTGTGATTTCAAACCCAATCCAGAAGACAAGGGAACTCCTAGATCTAGTATTGGGAGAAATTTGCCTTTGTGGAGGACTTTTTGATCTAGCTAACCCGCACTTGCGCTACATGGAGAGCTAGACCACTAGAACCTCTCACGGTTAGCATGACGGCAAGGGGACTCTAACCAATGATCTGTCTACCACTGAGGATATTTCACGTCAGCATTGTGATCGGTGTAAGCTGGATGCGGAATTCGTATCGATTGGGATTCGAACCCGGTTCGCCTCATTGGAATGCGAGCGCTCTATCCTCTGAGCTATCGTGGCTCTTTTTTGAACATTTGTAAAAAAGGGAAAAATATTTGGAGTTACTTTACTTTCCATACTATTGATACATTACAGTTTTCCTTATAAAATATGATTTAATGCACAAATAATGTGAACCTTCTGTTAATAGTTAAGGTAACAGTAGCTATGAAAAATTAAATCTAAGTAATAATTTAATGTGGAAATAAATTTTAAAAATTAATTTTTGCAAAATAACACTGACTTCCTATAATCATGCTTTTTTAAATTCTAGATAGCAGTCGCCAAAAGTATCCACCTTGCTTACCAATACATGGGTTTGGATAAAGGAGGAAAAGGCGGTTCCATAGTTAATACATCATCCATTGCAGGTATGGCACTATTTAGAAATTTCTTAACTAAGTACATTCATAAAACAACGAAAATGTTCAAAAGATAATGCTTAAAAATTAAAATTGTTTTGAAGCAGCACAAGTGAAGCTGACTTCCCCCCTACTTACCCCTCTTCTTAACTAAGTACATTCATAAAACAACGAAAATGTTCAAGAGATAATGCTTAAACAATTAAAATTGTTTTGAAGCAGCGCAAGTGTAGCTGACTACCCCCCTACTTACCCCACTCCTTAACTAAGTATATTCATGAAACAACGAAAATTTTGAAAACATAATTCTTAAACAATTAAAATTCTTTTGAAGCAGCGCAAGTGTAGCTGACTTTACTCTACTTACCCTACTTCTTAACTAAGCACATTCATAAAACAACGAAAATGTTGAAAAGATAATGTTTAAACAATTAAAATTGTTTTTAAGTAGCACAAGTGTAGCTGACTTAACCCTACTTACCATGCATGAGCATTATAAAATCTGCTTAGCTTTAAAAACTCCCTTATCCGACATCGGTACAATCAGCAAAATTCTGAACCACCATATTGGCTAGAAAGTAATAACCATTTTTCTAGTAATCGGATTTACATTCTTCATGATATATGTTTTGAAATGCCAACTTAGTAATGGTAATTAATTAGCTCTAACTATTAAGTAACGAAATCTGAAACAGACTTTCGTGCCGCTATAAAATTAATTCAGCACATCTTTAATTTTGAAAATGTGGCACTTATGTTTTAGCTTTGAAAAATATTTGAAAATATGATTATTACCGTCATCTTATTTTCCCATTATTGATCGTGTCTCCGAAACTAATTATATTAATTATTAACATATTACTTTCTAATCTCAATGTTTAAACTTTTTCCTGAAGCTATTTTCAAAAAAAAAAATTATGATTATTTATTATTTGATTCACTAAGAATCAGCTTCATTTATCAATAGCCAATATCTTCCTAAATTTTGTTTAAAACAACAACTTTTAAAGGTATTATTTTTAAAAAATATTAATTAACTTCTTTCGTTAGTGCTAAAAACCGAATTTTTAATAACCGTTGTCAAAAAGTTGGTCAACGGTAATGAAAAGTTGTGTTTTTTTAAAATTATTCCTATAAAAAAACATTTAAATGTCTTTCAGCCATTGTAATTTAAATATTTTAAATTTAGCCCGAATCATCATAGCTTATTAAATGTGGGCCAATTCTGATACTTTCATTGCCATTTAGGTCACACGGCTAATCCACTTTGTCCAATTTATACTGCAACAAAACATGCTGTCATTGGATTGACTAAGAGCTATGGGGTAAGTATAGTCAGTCCTTGGTGTTGTTAAAAATTTAATTCCTAATAATTTTTTTTTTTTGTTTAGTTCCAAAATGATGAACCATTTATAAACCTGATAATTTAAGAGAAAAATTGAAAACTATGAAACACAACTTGTTTTTTAAGATAAAAAAATAAATAAAAATATTGAAATAATATGCATTTGCATTTCTAATAAGGAAATAAAAGTAAGAATAGACAAAAAGTACAAAAAAAGCGAAGATGGAAATAACAGATCAGGGAGAATGATACTTCACCGTTCAAACCAATCTATAAGTATAAGGTATAAGGCAAAGTATAAGGTTTCCGTTTTTTTTCTCATTATTTTTTAACAAGAATTTAAAACCAATAGGTTATATTAATAAAGAGCATGTTTAACTATTACATACAAATATGGCTCACTATAACTGTCAATCAGTACTTGAATACTTAAAGCTTTACATTTTTCTCTATCGGCAAAATTTAGCACTAATGTGTAAAGCACGCTTCAAAATGATTTAGACGACATATTTTTAAAGAAATCATTCGGAGGTCATTCGATGGTTTGAAAACATTCGCGCAGCATATTTGTCCCCATTTTCTATTATGAGTCACGGTTTAAACGTTTGTAGTAGCAAGACAGAAAACTCATTTGATTTATACTTGTATTACCTCTTTAATTGCTATTTTTAAAGATTGGAGTATCACTGATATTTAGCTAAATTTATTCAATTACACTGACTTATTAATAATGAAATTCAAGTATCTATTTCACAACTTTCTACTATAGAATAGCATTTGACTTCTATTTGCAGTCCGATTACCATTTGAAAAAAAGTGGAATTAAGATGTACGCCATTTGCCCAGGCCAAGTCAACACACCGTTGTGTCAAGATTTCATTTATCGATGCATTGACGCAGAAGAAGGAAAGAAATATGTGGGAAAACTCCCGTGGACTTCGTAAGTAAATCAAAAATTTTCGAATACAAAAAGAAAGCTAACATAAGACGCAATGCAGATAATATTAATATAATTTAACCCTTTAAATCTTTATCAGATCTTTAGGCCACGGTAACTCAATGATTAGAGCATCGGTGCGTAGGAGCCGGGATTTGATCCTCGAAGCCGCCAAAATCCATCGAGTACACGCGATATACATGCTCGTAAAATTTGTGGAATAGAGTTCTGTAGTCGGTTACTGGTACTATGGGTACAGGGATCAGGAGAAAATTTCCTTCCCCTTCAGATCTATGTCTAAATTGTGGAAGTCGCCTCACGAATGAATGGTGCTTCCATCTATCGGGATTGTTCTGAGCTAAAACTCACTTTCACTCTTGCGATGCTCTCTTGTCAAGCAAAAAGCATTCCTCCCTGACTTAATTCCCAAGACCAATGACTGGCGTGCTTTGTTTGTTCATGTGTCTTCAGAGATAAGCACAACCTGCACTTTACCAATATTTTCAGGGATTCCTTCAATAACGCGAGTTAAAATTTTGAATTTATATCTTCACTGGGAGTTTTTTTTAATTAATTAAGAAAACACTATATGATATTTTAATTTCCAAACCATGTTGTGAAATGCCACGAAACGGGTAGCTCATGGGACCGATCACGTTAGTCACCAATGACAGATATTATTAGATAATTATAATATTGACTGATCCAAAATCAATTCCAAAATTGGCTGACTTCTCTGTCTAACGGATCTGTTCTTTGGTCTGAACATTGCTAGCGAATATAATTCATCTTAGCGAAATAAAACTGTAATTAAATTTATTATAATTCATCGTGTTAAGTTTTTAAGGGAGATATATTTTTTTGTTTTTAATCGATATTCCAATGAGAGTATATTCATTTTTGGCTCTTATGCCAATTAGTCTCGACTAACCAACCATTCATTAAGGAATGCTCAGATGATGGTATATGCAGTCATTTACCAAATTTTTTTATTTTTTCCCCAAGATTTCATTTTTTTTACATTAAAGCTGATTCCTTAAGACATTCATTCTGTTATTAAAATACAAATTTTTTAGAGGGGGATGAACAAATTTCTGAATAATCGTTTTATATATTTTCAGGGTAGAAGATTTAGGCAAAGGATTGATTAAACTGTTAGAGGATGGCAAAAATGGATCTGTAGTACAAATAGATGAAAATGGATTCAATTACGTCTAAAGACTACAGATATTTTGTATTCTTTTTACAATAAAAATAATGTACACGAAAAATGTTTTAATATTCAGTCTATTAATAATATATATGTTAAATATAAATGTTTCAATAATATAAAAATAATAGTTTTATCAAAGAGTTACAGCAAAATCTTAGAATAAAAGCCCTCTTCCTACACCCATCAAATCGAACAACGAAACGATTATACTCAAACTCGAGCACTGCGAGCTCTGATTAAACAAGACCCCATGTTTAAAGAAAGAAATTATAAAAAATGGCCAGTTTAATGTTAAAATAGTCCAGTAATTATAGCAGAAAGAAAAATGATGTTTCTTCAAAAATAATTAATGACCAGATTTTTCACAGCTTTATCAATAATGTCTTTTGAAAACATTCTTATACGCTTCATTCTTTTTCTAGGTGATATGGGGGAGAATTGAATATAATTTAAACAAGCAAGTGAGGTATTGTTTCGATGTATATTCCTTGGCGAATTGGATGAGACCAATCACGAGACGATCGGACCAATAGTTTAGAAGCTATAAGGGTTTCATGTACAATTTTGAACTTGTACTTACTTATGCATCTGATATTGCTATCTAAGCATGCAAATAATTTATTATGGATGTATTTTTTGACGCAGAATCGAGTGAGAATATTCAAGAGTCAATAAAATGAGCAGCTCAAACATTATTTAGTAAAGACTTTATATGTATAAAATATGCAATTTTTTAAATGTCTTACGTTTTTAAATTGCTATCCAGGGAATATCTAAACAACTAGTTATATTTTCTGATGCAATTTTCAATGCGTAATTGAAGGAGATTAATACTGAGACAATCGGAATATTAGTTAAGAAGTTATCAAGGTTTTATAAGTATGAAAAGCACAGTTTTGTTCTAATCTATCTATGTGAAAATGGATGTCTGCCTGTGTGTGTCCTTTATAGACTCCTAAACTACTCGACTAAAAGTGATGAAATGTGGCAAATAGATAGTTCGAAGCATGTGAAGAAAAAAAGTCACTGTAAACATTTAGAACATTCTACGACGAACTATTGGAGAGGAATGAGGGAAAAACGAAGTGGAATTTTCTGATTCGCTAAGTGTTAGCAATTGTTTTAAGTTTAACTATAGGCGATTCACTTTTTCAAATATCTTACAGCTCTAATTTATAATTTACATGCAATAAAAAGTTTATTGCATATGCTTTAATATTCAATTATTTTTTTATTCGCTATTTCAGATAAATTCAATGAATAACATTGAGCCGTGATGGCTCAGGTGATAGAGCTTTCGCCTTCCAATGAGGTGAACCGGGATCGAACCCCAGCGATGGCTGGTCAATACGAATTCCGCATCCGGCTTGCACTGACCACAAAGGCGGGGTGGTTCCATCAAAATGTCCCCCCCCCAAAGGCAAATTTCTCCAAATACTTGACTTAAGTCGTAAACCTATAAGAATTGGGTTGGATGCTCAACGACGGTTATAAAAATAAAATAAAAAGAACAACATGAACGTGGTACCATTCGTGAACTACGTCACCAAATTAATATTTCAAAAGTAAATTGATATCACGTCTTTATTTTGTTTATGGTAATTCTTTAAAAGTGTGTTTCTATAAAAATAAATAATTTAAAATAAACGGTAATTAAAATTCAAAAAAATAAGCATGTATTTAATGGTAAAATTTTTGGAAAAGTGGTACTGATTCGCTTAGAAGAAAATTGCTTTACTATTATAGATGTCAATGATTCTTAATTACTATAGGTAATATATGAATATTAAAATAAACTATGAATTAAAAGGCCAAAATTTATGGAGTAAAGGTACTTATTCATTTAGAAGAACTGTAAAGAATTGAGTACTTGTATTTCAAGAAGAAGATCACAAATACCCACACATGTGCCCAATAACGTCAGCGCCAGTTGATCTCTTATAAGCAAAATGGCGTGTTAAAGTTAAGCTTAGTTTCTCCACATGAGTTAGAATGTCAATTAACGGGACGTTAATTGAATACAGTGCCGTATCACACATCGAATTTGTTGAAATATAATTCTTTATTGTCTACATTTTTTACACAACTATCCACTCCTTAAATATCAAATGCAAAATATCCACTCCTTAAATATCGGACAGCAGACTGTGGTTGTCGGTTGTGTTCATCTGCAGGTATCCTTCCGCACAGGAACTATTCTGTTTGGCTTTCCTACCTTCGACTTTTGACCTAAACCTCGATCCTTCTACCCTGGAATTGCATGATTTCCGAGCTGTCACAATTAACAGCCTCTACAACGATTTTTCAAAAGACTTAATTAAATCAACAACCCTGATGCTGTGTGCACACTTATCAAAAAATGGCTACTATTTTTTATGTCTTTGGTTTGCCAGTGGCTACTAATCTCAAATTGCTACTCTAGAACTCTATCTGTGGCGGATCCCATATTTCTTTCGCGAATTTGGAGAGTGATGAATTCTTATCTTTTTTAGGTTTCATTTTTATTAGCTTAATTTTTGGGGTCTTTTAAACAATTTGTGATAAAAATTAGATTAATTTTATTAATCCCATTCAGTTTCAGTGTTTACATTACTAAATGAAGACACATGGAACAGCTGATAAGAAAAATGACAATTTTTTTTTCATTATAAAAATTTTAAGATAAAACTGTTGTTGATATAAATGTCATCCATCAAGATAACGATAACCGTCGCAAGGCCTTAGAAGCCCAGTTCCACTACAACGAACGAACAAACGAGCCACTTTTAGAAGTTTAACTAAGCTGCAAGCAAAAGATCTTTCTGAAAGCACATTATACATTTCATTATGTCCATGAAGGGAAAAGTAGCTCTTGTGACGGGTGGAGCTCGAGGAATTGGAAGGGCTTATACTACTGCACTGCTCAACAATGGAGTAAAAGTAAATATTATTTTATACTTTAAATAAGAATGTTTTTATTTACTGGAAAATATTGTTTTAGTCCTATTTGTTTATTTCAATCACATGGGTATTATATATATTCAAATCACAGAATCATGAGAATGTTCGGTCCCCGATCGTTTCTCGTACAGACTCCCATAATTGCTTCAAAGTGATTTTTATGCCTTAACGACAAGTAAATTGCTACATCAAAATTTAAAGAAAAAACATTATTCATTTATTAAAAGAGCCCCAAATTTTTTTGCTTAACAAAAATTGAGTTCCACAGATTTTGTTTCCGAATGTGATGGTTTAAAACTTAAAATCTAATTTATTTTTGTTACAATTTGCTATTTCATTAACTGAATTCTTTAAAATAAGAATTTAATTTTTAGTCAATACAAAAAAAAAATGATTCCACTGAAAATAATTATTCTGCAATGAGGCGAAACGTCAGTTCCTGATATTGCCTTAAAATTTTACATAATTTCTATTAGTTTAATCAAATTTATTAGTTTAATTTACGTATTGAATTGAAACAGTTTTTCGTAAAAATTATTGAAAATGTAAATATAACATCACCTTATAAATCTCTCGAAAGATTCTAATTAACAACTAGGAGGATAAAACTACATTTATTTGCGAATGTAATGGTAAACAAAAATATAATAACTGTACTTATTAGTCTGTATAATATTTGAGAAGCAATAGTAAATAAAACAGAGCTGTGGTAGCTCAGGTGATAGATCGTTCGCCTCCCAATGAGGTGAACCGGGTTCGAATAGCAGCGATGGCTGGTCGATTCAAATTCAGCCCCCGGATCGCACCGACCACAGTGCTGATGTAAAATATCCACCGTGGTAGATGGATCATGGTTTAGAGTCCAATTGCCCTCAAGCTAACCGTGGGAGGTTTTCGTGGTTTTCCTCTTCATGTGACGCAAATGTTGGTTAGTTCCATCAAAAAGTCCTCTATGGTGGCAAAATTTCTCCCAATACTTGATCCGGAAATTCTCTTGTCTTCTGGGTCAGGTCCAAAATTACAAGATTATGGAGTTGCTCATTAGTTATCGTAAACCCAAAATTGGCTCGGCTGTTCAACGACGGTTAAAAAATATTAAATTAAAATAAATAAAACGAATCATATTGTAATTGAACTTCTTATTCATTTCATTTCTAAGCATAGATTTTTAACAAGCCATATTGAAACTGTTATAAGAGTTACAACAAATAGGCTAATATATATATATATATATATAGTAGGTATTAGATAAATTTGCTACTTTTTAATAAATGCACATCTTCAGATTTCTTTGTGGGAACATTGCAATTTTCGTTAACATATTTATTCTGATGTCGGTGTTGGTTTGGAATTTCAACTGGAGTGGTGGATTTGTTGTAGTCTCGGGATGGGTTGAAGGAGGAGTGGACGATTTTAAATAGGGTTGGAGTAGTTGCATACACAGGTAAGATAGCTGGTCATTGTGAACTTTTCATGCTCCAAAGGAAAGACAAATTGATCACGAAATTTCTTCTCTTATTTCTTTTTACCTTGGCCAAAATAAATGTAAATTAATTCATGAACTGGCAGATATATAAAACTGGCAGGACATAACTACGTGGGTTCAGGTCCTCCCTGTATGCTTCAGGAAGAAGATATTAAAGTTTATAAAAGCATCTTAGATTTGTTAAAAAGAAAAGGCAGTAAAATTAAAAATAAGTTAAATTTAAAAGGCTTTTGGCAAAATTAATAAAGATATAGATGAATACTAGATCTACAATCTGTGAGCACACAAAGGGAGAGACACAGAAAGAGAGAGAGAGATACCAAAGCGAGAGATAATTAAAATTTATTTTTGATAAAGTTTTAAAGAAGTCTGCATTATCTAAAATAAGTCATAAACAAAATACCCCATAATGTTTCAAAAATTAACAGATTCATTAAGAACATAAAAACTTTTACATTTTGAATGTCTGTAAGTGCTAACTGATTTTTGTTCTATCTGACATTAAAAATCAATAGTTGCACATACCTTGGATTGCCCCAAGATACAATTCTGACACTGGTTCAAGATACAACAAGCATGCATTTTTCTGATTTTGTTAGGTTGGCAAAAATAATTTATTTTTCTTTGAAAAAAAGTATTATTTTACCTTATAGAGTAAGACATTTTGGTTCAAATCCATGTAATATTTTTCCTCAAATGTTAGCGTTTTATGAATTTATACTCTAATCAATTAGAAAAAAAAAATAACTCAGCAAATAGAAATCCAAAGAAGTTCTTTAGCAAAAGTTTAGAAAGCCTAAAATGGTCCACAGCACTGCAGATACTACCTGTTGTAAACTACTCATCCTGAATACTTAATTAGCTAAATAGGGACAGAAATACTACACTGGTCCGAAGTACATATGGTCTAAGGTACAATATTCTCCTCTTCACTTTAAAACTAGTTGTATGACACAAATTTACCCTATTATTTCTTATTCTACAGCTTCTTTTAAATATTTGTAGGTATGCATTTGTGACGTTAATGAAATTACGGCATCAGAATTTATTGGAAGTCTCCCAGATAATCTAAAAAAGAATGCATTTTTCCAAAAATGTGATGTGACAGACGTCAAGAATTTCAAAGGTATGACTACTACGAATCCACCACTACGAATTCCCCCCCCCCTCTTTTACTTGAATATCTAACACCAGATGTGACGCCATTAGAATAAAAGCTATTGAAATAGAATAGTGACACAATGTTGTCTGTTAGCATTATATTGGTTGATGAGTATTCACACAAGTTTCCATCTATTCTTAGTTTCATGGCTAAAATTTTTTTTTCCTGTTCAGAAATTTACGAATACAGTAAAAATACTCGAAAACAACACGTTTGTCAACATCATTGCTCCATAAACTTATTTCAATAATGCTGTCTTGTAACTGAAAGACAAAGACTTTATTCTAAAGTTAATGAAGACTTTTAAAATGCTAAAAACTTTTTGTAGAAACCACAAGTTAGCAAAACCAAAATATTAAAAATTTATGTAGTAGGGATCGTAAATTTCAAGCAAAGGATCGTAATAATCAAGCATTAGAATAAGCTTTTTTTCATAATTTTTCATATAAAAACAAAAAGTAAAATTTCGTTCGGATCAATCTGAATGGTGTGAATTAGTCCCGTACACTAATTCACCCTATGAAAGCAGGAATCAATAATTTAAAAAAAAAAAGTGATAATTATTATTTAACTGCTACCATACAAGTTATCTTATAATACTTAATTTTAACGTTAAGATCTCCCCTCTTGATTTTATTGTTCGAAACCAATGAAACAATAAAACAATTCTTTATTTTTTTTGTTACATTTTTCACTTATATTAATATAATTAATTCGTACATTATTCTTAATATTAGAGTTCAGGCTCTGTGAGGACAATAATAAATTCACTGCAGCTTCTTTAAAAGCTAAGAAAAATCTTTGTAATTGACTATTTTATTTTTATTTTTTAGTCACTCTTACACAAATTATCTGCGTTTTTGATTTTCTAAGCGAAAATGATTGCGTTTGATACGAAAAAGAACATAGAGGAAGAAAATATCTTATTTCATGCTTAATTTATCATACTATTTTTTTAATTTTAAATAATAAGTGTGCAACTTTATAATCTTTTTCTTCGTTTCAAAACAGATGCCTTTGATAAAACTATTGAAGTGTTTGGAAAAATTGACATTGTTGTTAATAATGCTGGAATACAGGATGAGCATAACTGGAAGAAAACCATTGAAGTTAACTTGGTAAGTTGTTGCAGATTAGATTTCGGTAACAAACAGTGAGCGAAAAAATAAAAAAACTAACTCTCTGATTAACTTGCGATCTAGTGATCGGATCTTCACGTTCTAGGACTCATTTTTAAATGTTCAAGGGGGTGACCCCAAATATACTAATTAATTAGTGTAGACTATGCGTCAAACTACGAAATCAGACCCAAAAGCATACTTTCTGTGAATACTTTCTGTTTTTCGATGGAATCGGACTTCTGAAATTTAGTACTAATAGTTTGATCAGAAAAGCAGTCTAAAGCTGAAATCCTTTAAAGTTAATTTTACTTTTTGCATGTTTCACCATATCTCTAGAACCTTTTAAGCGAATTGAAAAACTTTTGACCACAATTGTAAAATTCGTTTATCCAAAGATAATTCCACGTAAAAAATAAATTTTAGTACATATTGATTATTTTTTACTTTCTCTTTTTCGAATACTTTCTCTTTTCGAATACTTTCTCTTTTTCGATGGAATCGGACTTCAGGAATTTAGTACTAATAGTTTGATCAGGAAAGCAGTGCAAAGTTGGAACCCTTAAAAGTAATAAAAAAATAAATTTTCTATGTAAAAAAATTCCATGTAAAAAAATTCTAATTTTTCATGCAAAGTATGAAATTTGAGCGAAATCGGTCGAATAGTTCCTGAGAAATCAAATGTTTAATAAGTCACATATTTAAAACTCGGTTTTTCAGGAACTATACAACCAATTTTGCTTAAAAGTTGTACTTTGCCATGCAAATTTACATTCTTTAAAAAGATGATATATATATATATATATATATATATATATATATATATA